CATCATGTTTTACATCATGCATCATTTACATCATGATTTTTTGTAGTGGCATAAATAAAAGTGACATTTGTGAGACTATACAGCGTTTTGTAAATAATTTTACAAAGAACGCCTGGGCCATTGCCTGCATTTTGATGTAAATAGAGGTAAATTACTATGTTCTTTGTTAAAAATTTGCATATGTTTTGAAGTTTACAATTTTTATTTGAAGTTTAAGTTTTAAAAACAGTTCATCACACATATTTGTGGTTTTCACAGTAAAAATGTTACTTTTTTCCACTCGGATTTTATGTTTTGTGTGTGAATTTGGGTCCATTGTGTAAATACAGTATGTCAAAATGATAAAATAACTGTAAATTCACACAGGTGAGGTTGTGCTGAAAAAAATGATACCAGGCAAGGCAAGGTAAAAAAATTTTAAGAGGAAATATAAAGGTAAAATCTAAAGTAGTCAAAAACGGCCAATAGTGACTCCCAGACTCAATAGACAAGTCCCTTTGGCGCCACTCAGTGGGCAAAACTACTTTGTCTGCTGTAATGTATATTTGGGTCATCTTTGGCGCCCCCTAGAACCTAAACCGTGGAGTGCAGCGTCATGATTTGTACAACTTTGAATGGCCATGGGGTGTAGATTGGCCTGAGCAAATTTGGTGGCGGTGGAACTAAAGCCTTCGGAGGAGTTAGCGAAATTCCAATGTGTGCGGATCGGGAAAAAATGCAAAATAACCCTTTAACCGTACATTTTACAGATACGTGCCTATTGACTTTTTCGTAGATCTTATTGAGATACACGTGATTGTCAAATTTTGGGTCAATATGACAAAGCGTATAGGCGTGACACTCAACAATGTGTATTTTCACCTTAGGGGACAAGAAAAAATGGACTTTTTTCTCCTGCCATGTGGGGGCGCTCTTTTGGGGAGTAAAAATTCCTTCACAAATGTGTTGATGGCTGGACATTGCATCATCCTAGAGAACTTGGAGGCCAGTGAGGACAAAAATAAAAAGTTATAAGACTTATAAGACTGTGGATTTTTGGGTTATCTTTGGCGCCCCCTAGAACGTAAACCGTGGGGTGCAGCGTCATGATTTGTACAACTTTTAATGGCCATGGGGTGTAGATTGGCCTGAGCAAATGTGGTGCCGGTGGAACGAATGCCTTCGGAGGAGTTAGCGAAATTCCAATGTGTGCAGATCGGCAAAAAATGCGAAATAACCCTCTAACCGTACATTTCACAGATGCGCCCACGCTGACTTTTTCGTAGACCGTATTGAGATACACGTGTGTGTCAATTTTTGTGTCAATATGACAAAGCGTACAGGCGTGACAGTCAATAGTGTGAATTTTCGCCTTAGGGGGCGCTATGGAGCCATTTTGCATTTTATTGTTTGGGCGACTTCAGAATATCGAATTTTTCACCAGGCCCGGTCGTCCTGCCAAATTTCATGAGTTTTCGCCAGTGGGAAGTGGGCCATTTTCCCCTTCAAAGGGGAGGAAAAATAAGAAGAAAGAAAGAAAGAAAGAACTAGGGCCCAGTTGGGGCACTGGCGGGCCCGAGCTGTGTCACGCCGCCCCCAACACGACCGCCTCTCCCTCCCGATCGCGTCACACTCAAGGTTCAACGATTGTGTGCGCACTTGTCTGTGGTCATTTACCATTATAATGAATGGGAGGCGCAGTTTCTACCAAAACGCTTGCTGCAGACAAACTACATGTCCTATTTGAAAAAAGTCTGGACCATGAGTGAGGGCACAAACACAGCTAGGATATATCCAAATGGCAAGTTCCTCCTCCTTTCGTTTTTTTCCGAGAGAGCGATGTGTTTGAGCCATTGAGCGATGGGCAGGAAAAACTTGACTTTTTCTCCTGCCATGGGGGGGCACTCTTTTAGGGAGAAAAAATTCCTTCACAAATGTGTTGATGGCTAGACATTGCATCATCCTAGAAAACTTTGAAGCCAGTGAGGACAAAAATGAAAAGTTATAAGACTTTTAAGAATGTGGATTTTTGGGTTATCTTTGGCGACCCCTAGAACGTAAACCGTGGGGTGCAGCATCATGATTTGTACAACTTTTAATGGCCATGGGGTGTAGATTGGCCTGAGCAAATTTGGTGCCGGTGGAACGAAAGCTTTAGGAGGAGTTAGCCACATTCCAATGTGTGCAGATCAACCAAAAATGCGAAATAGCCCTTTAACCGTACATTTTGCAGACACGTGCGCGTTGACTTTTTCGTAGATCTTATTGAGATACACGTGATTATCAAATTTTGTTTCAATATGACAAAGCGTACAGGCGTGACACTCAACAATGTGTATTTTCACCTTATAGGACAAGAAAAAATGGCCTTTTTTCTCCTGCCATGGGGGGGCGCTCTTTTGGGGAGTAAAAATTCCTTCACAAATGTGTTGATGGCTGGACATTGCATCATCCTAGAAAACTTGGAGGCCAGTGATGACAGAAATAAAAAGTTATAAGACTTGTAAGAATGTGGATTTTTGGGTTATCTTTGGCGCCCCCTACAACGTAAACCGTGGGGTGCAGCGTCATGATTTGTACAACTTTGAATGGCCATGGGGGTTAGATTTGCCTGAGCAAATTTGGTGCCGGTGGAACGAAAGCCTTCGGAGGAGTTAGCGAAATTCCAATGTGTGCGGATCGGCAAAAAATGCGAAATAGCCCTTTAAACGTACATTTGACAGATACGCCCGCACTGACTTTTTTGTAGATCTTATTGAGATACACGTGTGTGTCAAATTTTGTGTCATTTTGACAAAGCGTACAGGCGTGACACTCAATCATGTGAATTTTTCACCTTAGGGGGCGCTATGGAGCCATTTTGCATTTGATTGTTTGGGTGACTTCAGAATATCGAATTTTTCACCAGGCCCGGTCGTCCTGCCGAATTTCATGAGTTTTCACCAGTGGGAAGTGGGCCATTTTCCAGTTCAAAGGGGCAGAAAAATAATAAGAAGAAGAAGAAGAAAGAAGAATCCATCAGGAATAATAGGGCTCTCGCAGCTGCTTAGCAGCTACGCTCGGGCCCTAAAGAAGAAAGAAAAACCTATACAGGAATAATAGGGCTCTACGCCCGGCTGCTCTGCAGCTGGCTCGGGCCCTAAATATGTGTGATGAACTGTTTTTAAAACTTAAACTTCAAATAAAAATTGTAAACTTCAAAACATATGCAAATTTTTAACAAAGAACATAGTAATTTACCTCTATTTACATCAAAATGCAGGCAATGGCCCAGGCGTTCTTTGTAAAATTATTTACAAAACACTGTATAGTCTCACAAATGTCACTTTTTATTTATGCCACTACAAAAAAACATGATGTAAATGATGCATGATGTAAAACATGATGTAAAAAACTTGTGTAGATCCTCCTCTATGTCAGTCCATGTGTAATTTTTCCATAATTCTTTGTTTTTTGCAGCATTTTTGTTAGTGTAACTGCAGATTGTGCTGACAGTGTCTATGGCACAAAAAAAAAAAAAAAAATTAAAATGCCTCAACATGAACCCCTGGTGGTCTCTGAGGGTGAAACCTGCTAACTGCTGCAGCTCTGTCAGCTTCAGTCTCCCATGCAGAGCTCGGAGCGCATGTGTGGCTCTGCACCCTTAGCAGCGTTGCTAACTCCTCAGTAAGGAAAGCCTGCTTCATGTCAGAGTCTCTAAACTCCAGAAGAAGTCGATAAAAGTCCCTTTCTTTCTAAAAAAAAGTCGTTAGGGGGTCTGAAAAGTCATTGAATCTAACAACAAAGTCGCTAGGTTTGCAACTACGTGTCCCAGACTGCATCCCTGCTGAGAGTCCCTCCCTCCCTTCTCATGTTGCAGGAAGAACGTAAGCGCTTGCCCCTTGTCAATCAGTCACCATATAATTTTGGATTGGTTGTTGTGGTGAAGTTTTCCACCAATAGGAGAGATGTTGTGGTGTGTTTTTTTTTTCCTTTGGCAAGCCTTTTCCGCCTGTAAGACCTGTCGCTAATGTCTGCATGCTATGTTTTCCTGTCTCATACAGCGCGATCGAGCGCCGAACGTGATCAAAATAAGCAGAAAAAAAGTATCGCGGACATAATTTATCATAACTCTGGTTTTATTTGGCCTATCAACACAATTTAAAAACTGGTATATAGGTTGAGGTCCTCACTTTTGAGATAAGTTGAAACGGAGAGTCAACGAGGCTCCGTCTTGCAGCTACATCCGGTTAAATATGTCATGTGATTTGAACGCACACATAGACACACACACACGCACACACACACACACACACACACACACACACACACACACACACACACTCAGAGTCTGGTTTTTAGCACCTGCAAAAACATGCTATTTACATATTTGACAAGAATGCAGAGGCTCCTTTTGCCCCTGAAAAAAATCAAATTTCAAACACAACTTGACTGGTCATTTCTCCAAAAGACAACCATGAAGCTCCATCCAAACCTGAAGCAGGCAGTTGGTGCATGTGTACAGTAACCTGAGGGGAGTGAGGTGAGTGCTTCTGAGGAGAACATGAGCAGTGAAGATTCACCTTGGAGCTAGAACAGAGACATGCACATGATTATACAGGGGCAGGGGCTCAAGTTTTTTCCAGTCGTTTATACAATATGGAAATTAATGTGAAATTAAAACACAAAGTATTAATAGAAAGGTAATGACTGTCCTGTGTAGGTGACAGTGATATCCAATAGGCTAGGCACTCACGAGGCTGGCTGTGGCAAGTGTAAGTGAAAGCAACACGCACTGGCAGGAAGAACAGCAAACGGCGATGAAGGAAAAGGGTCTTTGCAGTGATGGGCGTTACCAGAGAGGGCGATGGCCAGAGGACACAAATGGGACGGGGAGGCAGCACGTTGGGGGGGGGGGGGGGAGACGCGACACGGCTCGGGCCCGCCAGTGCCCCAACGGGGTCCTAGTTAGGGCCCGAGCCAGCTGCAGAGCAGCCGGGCGTAGGCCCTATTATTCCCCAAGTGGTTTTTCTTTGTTTCTTTCTTTCTTTCTTTCTTTCTTTCTTTCTTTCTTTCTTCTTTTTCCTCCCCTTTGAACTGGAAAATGGCCCACTTCCCACTGGCGAAAACTCATGAAATTTGGCAGGACGACCGGGCCTGGTGAAAAATTCGATATTCTGAAGTCGCCCAAACAATAAAATGCAAAATGGCTCCATAGCGCCCCCTAAGGTGGAAATTCACACTGTTGACTGTCACGCCTGTACGCTTTGTCATATTGACACAAAAATTGACACACACATGTATCTCAATAAGATCTACAAAAAAGTCAGTGCGGGCGTATCTGTCAAATGTACGGTTAAAGGGTTATTTCGCATTTTTTGCCGATCCGCACACATTGAAATTTCGCTAACTCCTCCGAAGGCTTTCGTTCCACCGGCACCACATTTGCTCAGGCCAATCTACACCCCATGGCCATCGAAAGTTGTACAAATCATGACGCTGCACCCCACGGTTTAGGTTCTAGGGGGCGCCAAAGATAACCAAAAAGTCCACATTCTTAAAAGTCTTATAACTTTTTATTTTTTTCCTCACTGGCCTCCAAGTTCTCTAGGATGATGTAATGTCCAGCCATCAACACATTTGTAAAGGAATTTTTACTCCCGAAAAGAGCGCCCCCCCATGGCAGGAGAAAAAAGTCAATTTTTTCTTGTCCCCTAAGGTGAAAAAACACATTGTTGACTGTCACGCCTATACGCTTTGTCAAAATGACACAAAATTTGACACACACGTGTATCTCAATAAGATTTACGAAAATATCAATGGGCACGTATCTGTAAAATGTACGGTTAAAGGGCTATTTCGCATTTTTTGCCGATTCGCACACATTGGAATGTGGCTAACTCCTCCTAAGGCTTTCGTCCCACCAACACCAAATTTGCTCAAGCCGATCTACATCCCATGGCCATTCAAAGTTGTAGAAATCATGACGCTGCGCCCCACGGTTTACGTTCTAGGGGGCGCCAAAGATGACCCAAATATCCACATTCTTAAAAGAATCCACATCCCCCCCCCCCCCCCAAGGCAGGAGAAAAAGTCAAGTTAACCATGCCCATCGGTCAATGGCTCAATCGCATCGCTCTCCCGGCAACACCGTAAGGAGGAGCAACTTGCCATTTGGATATATCCTAGCTGTGTTTGTGCCCTCACTCATGGTCCAGACTTTTTTCAAATAGGACATGTAGTTTGTCTGCAGCGAGTGTTTTGGTAGAAACTGCGCCTCCCATTCATTATAATGGGAAATGACCACAGACAAGTGCGCACACCATCTTTGGACCTTGAGTGTGACGCGATCGGGAGGGGGAGGCGGTCGCGCTGGGGGCGGCGCGACGCGGCTCGGGCCCGACAGTGCCCCAACGGGGCCCTAGTCTTTGTTTCTTTCTTTAGGGCCCGAGCGTAGCTGCTAAGCAGCTGCGAGAGCCCTCTTGTTCCTGCATGTTTCCTTCTTTCGTTATTATTTTTCCTCCGCTTTAAACTGGAAAATGGCCCACTTCCCACTGGCGAAAACTCAGGAAATTTGGCAGGACGACCGGGCCTGGTGAAAAATTCGATATTCTGAAGTCGCCCAAACAATAAAATGCAAAATGGCTCCATAGCGCCCCCTAAGGTGAAAATTCACATGACGGCTGTACGCATTGTCATATTGACACAAAAATTGACACACACGTGTATCTCAATAAGATCTACAAAAAAGTCAGTGCGGGCGTATCTGTCAAATGTACGGTTAATGGGTTATTTTTCATTTTTTGCAGATCTGCACACATTGGAATTTCGCTAACTCCTCCGAAGGCTTTCGTTCGACCGGCACCACATTTGCGCAGGCCAATCTACACCCCATGGCCATTAAAAGTTGTACAAATCATGACGCTGCACCCCACGGTTTACGTTCTAGGGGGCGCCAAAGATAACCCAAAAATCCACATTATTAAAAGTCTTATAACTTTTTACTTTTGTCCTCACTGGCCTCCAAGTTTTCTAGGATGATGCAATGTCCAGCCATCAACACATTTGTGAAGGAATTTTTACTCCCCAAAAGAGCGCCCCCCAATGGCAGGAGAAAAAGGTCCATTTTTTCTTGTCTCCAAAGGTCAAAATACACATTGTCGAGTGTCACGCCTGTATGCTTTGTCATATTGACACAAAATTTGACAATCACGTGTATCTCAATAAGATCTACGAAAAAGTCAAAGGGCATGTATCTGTCAAATGTACGGTTAAAGGGCTATTTTGCATTTTTTGCTGATCCGCACACATTGGAATTTCACTAACTCCTCCGAAGGCTATCTTTCCACCGGCACCAAATTTGCTCAGGCCAATCTACACCCCATGGCCATTAAAAGTTGTACAAATCATCTTGCTGCACCCCACGGTTTGGGTTCTAGGGGGCACCAAATATAACCCAAAAATCCACATTCTTAAAAGTCTTATAACTTTTTATTTTTTTCCATACTGGCCTCCAAGTTTTTTAGGATGATGCAATGTCCAGCCATCAACACATTTGTGAAGAAATTTTTACTCCCCAAAAGAGCGCCCCCCCATGGCAGGAGAAAAAAGTCCATTTTTTCTTATCCCGAAAGGTGAAAATACACGTTGTTGAGTGTCACGCCTTTACGCTTTGTCATATTGACACAAAATTTGGCAATCATGTGTATCTCAATTAGATCTACGAAAAAGTCAAAGAGCGCGTATCTGTATAATGTACGGTTAAAGGGCTATTTTGCATTTTTTGCCGATTCGCACACATTGGAATGTGGCTATCTCCTCCTAAGGCTTTCGTCCCACCGATACCAAATTTGCTCAGGGCAATCTACATCCCATGCCCATTCAAAGTTGTAAAAATCATGACGCTGCACCCCACGGTTTACGTTCTAGGGGGCGCCAAAGATGACCCAAAAATCCACATTCTTAAAAGTCATTTTGGCCACTGCAGGAGTACAGAGTACTGCAGTTCTAGGGGGCGCCAAAGATGACCCAAAAATCCACATTCTTAAAAGTCTTTTTGGCCACTGCAGGAGTACAGAGTACTGCAGGATACACACACATATACACACACGCCAACATACACACACACACACACACACACACAGACACACACACACACTCAGAGTCTGTTTTTTAGCACCTGCAAAAACATGCTGTTTACATATTTGACAAGAATGCAGAGGCTTCCTTTTGCCCCTGAAAAAAATCAAATTTCAAACACAACTTGACTGTTCATTTCTCCAAAAGACAACCATGAAGCTCCATTTCAAACCTGAAGCAGATAGTTGGTGCATGTGTACAGTAACCTGAGGGGAGTGAGGTGACTATTTCTGAGGAGAACATGAGCAGTGAAGATTCACCTTGGAGCTAGAACAGGGACGTGCACATGATTATACAGGGGCAGGGGCTCAAGTTTTTTCCAGTCATTTATACAATATGGAAATTAATGTGAAATTAAACCACAAATATGTGTGATGAACTGTTTTTAAAACTTAAACTTCAAATAAAAATTGTAAACTTCAAAACATATGCAAATTTTTAACAAAGAACATAGTAATTTACCTCTATTTACATCAAAATGCAGGCAATGGCCCAGGCGTTCTTTGTAAAATTATTTACAAAACACTGTATAGTCTCACAAATGTCAATTTTTATTTATGCCACTACAAAAAAACATGATGTAAATGATGCATGATGTAAAACATGATGTAAAAACTTGTGTAGATCCTCCTCTATGTCAGTCCATGTGTAATTTTTCCATAATTCTTTGTTTTTTGCAGCATTTTTGTTAGTGTAACTGCAGATTGTGCTGACAGTGTCTATGGCAAAAAAAAAAAAAAACTGAAAATGCCTCAACATGAACCCCTGGTGGTCTCTGAGGGTGAGAACCTGCTAACTGCTGCAGCTCTGTCAGCTTTAGTCTCCCATGCAGAGCTCGGAGCGCATGTGTGGCTCTGCACCCTTAGCAGCGTTGCTAACTCCTCAGTAAGGAAAGCCTGCTTCATGTCAGAGTCTCTAAACTCCAGAAGAAGTCGATAAAAGTCCCTTTCTTTCTAAAAAAAAGTCGTTAGGGGGTCTGAAAAGTCATTGAATCTAACAACAAAGTCGCTAGGTTTGCAACTACGTGTCCCAGACTGCATCCCTGCTGAGAGTTCCTCCCTCCCTTCTCATGTTGCAGGAAGAACGTAAGCGCCCGCCCCTTTGTCAATCAGTCACCATATAATTTTGGATTGGTTGTTGTGGTGAAGTTTTCCACCAATAGGAGAGATGTTGTGGTGTGTTTTTTTTTTTTCTTTGGCAAGCCTTTTCCGCCTGTAAGACCTGTCGCTAATGTCTGCATGCTATGTTTTCCTGTCTCATACAGCGCGATCGAGCGCCGAACGTGATCAAAATAAGCAGAAAAAAAGTATCGCGGACATAATTTATCATAACTCTGGTTTTATTTGGCCTATCAACACAATTTGAAAACTGGTGTATAGTTTGAGGTCCTCACTTTTGAGATAAGTTGAAACGGAGAGTCAACGAGGCTCCGTCTTGCTGCTACATCCGGTTAAATATGTAATGTGACTTGAACGCTGGGGAGCGTCAATCGACTGCAGAGCCAGCAGACAAAGTAGTTGTGGCCACTGAAAGGCACATATTTGTCATATGCTATAATCCTAACATATTTTAATGCTTTTTCTATTTAAACCTAATGGATCTAAGGTTTGACCTTCAAAATTTAGGAAGAATATGTTTTTGCAGTAATGACCCCGTTAAACAACCAGAGGTCCTTTCCTAAAGTTTATGGAAATTTTAGTGAAGGCCTTGGTTTCTTTCCTTGCAAAATGTATAGAAATAATAAAGCTAAATTCCATAAAATGGTCTTGGCGTATTAGCAGTGATATAAAATAGTGGTTTGAATATGAATGAACAACAACAAAAAAAAAACATCAACAGAGCCTTTTTGAGTTGGGATTCTTTCATTATCACACAAAAACAGACATAGACAGACATCTAAAGGGTAAGGGAATGATCAGCCCTCCTAACTCTCAGATGAATCTTCAAAATTCACCTCAGAAATATGCTTATTATTCTTCTCAGAGTACTGCAGGATATACACACACACACACTCAGAGTCTTTTTTTTAGCACCTGCAAAAACATGCTATTTACATATTTGACTAGAATGCAGAGGCCCCTTTTTGCCCCTGAAAAAAATCAAATTTCAAACACAACTTGACTGCTCATTTCTCCAAAAGACAACCATGAAGCTCCATCCAAACCTGAAGCAGGCAGTTGGTGCATGTGTACAGTCACCTGAGGAAAGTGAGGTGACTACTTCTGAGGAGAACATGAGCAGTGAAGATTCACCTTGGAGCTAGAACAGGGACGTGCACATGATTATACAGGGGCAGGGGCTCAAGTTTTTTCCAGTCATTTATACAATATTGAAATTAATGTGAAATTAAAAAACAAGTATTAATAGAAAGGTTATGACTGTCCTGTGTAGATGACAGTGATATCCAATAGGCTAGGTACTCACGAGGCTGGCTGTGGCAAGTGTAAGTGAAAGCAACACGCACTGGCAGGAAGAACAGCAAACGCCGATGAAGGAAAGAGTCTTTGCAGTGATGGGCGTTACCAGAGAGGGCGATGGCCAGAGGACGCGAATGGGACAAGGAGGCAGCGCGTTGGGGGGGGCAGCGCGACACGGCTCGGGCCCGCCAGTGCCCCAACGGGGCCCTAGTTCTTTCTTTCTTTCTTCTTTTTCCTCCCCTTTGAACTGGAAAATGGCCCACTTCCCACTGGCGAAAACTCATGAAATTTGGCAGGACGACCGGGCCTGGTGAAAAATTCGATATTCTGAAGTCGCCTAAACAATAAAATGCAAAATGGCTCCATAGCGCCCCCTAAGGTGGAAATTCACACTATTGACTGTCACGCCTGTACACTTTGTCATATTGACACAAAAATTGACACACATATGTATCTCAATAAGATCTACAAAAAAGTCAGTGCGGCCGTATCTGTCAAAATTACGGTTAAAGGGTTATTTTGCATTTTTTGCCGATCCGCACACATTGGAATTTCGCTAACTCCTCCGAAGGCTTTCGTTCCACCGGCACCACATTTGCTCAGGCCAATCTACACCCCGTGGCCATTAAAAGTTATCAAAATCATGACGCTGCACCCCAAGGTTTAGGTTCTAGGGGGCGCCAAAGATAACACTAAAATCCACATATTTAAAAGTCTTATAACTTTTTATTTTTGTCCTCACTGGCCTCCAAGTTTTCTAGGATGATGCAATGTCCAGCCATCAACACATTTGTGAAGGAATTTTTACTCCCCAAAAGAGCGCCCCCCATGGCAGGAGAAAAAAGTCCATTTTTTCTTGTCCCATAAGGTGAAAATACACATTGTTGAGTGTCACGCCTATACGCTTTGTCAAAATGACACAAAAATTGACACACACATGTAACTCAATAAGATCTACGAAAAAGTCAATGCGCGCGTATCTGTCAAATGTACGGTTAAAGGGTTATTCCGCATTTTTTGCCGATCCGCACACATTGGAATGTGGCTAACTACTCCTAAGGCTTTCGTTCCACCGGCACCACATTTGCTCAGGCCAATCTACACCCCATGGCCATTAAAAGTTATTCAAATCATGACGCTGCACCCCACGGTTTAGGTTCTAGGGGGCGCCAAAGATAACCCTAAAATCCACATATTTAAAAGTCTTATAACTTTTTATTTTTGTCCTCACTGGCCTCCAAGTTTTCTAGGATGATGCAATGTCCAGCCATCAACACATTTGTGAAGGAATTTTTACTCCCCAAAAGAGCGCCCCCCCATGGCAGGAGAAAAAAGTCCATTTTTTCTTGTCCCCTAAGGTGAAAATACATATTGTTGAGATTCACGCCTATACGCTTTGTCATATTGACACAAAATTTGACAATCACGTGCCTTGCCTGGTATCATTTTTTTCAGCACAACCTCACCTGTGCGAATTTACAGTTATTTTATCATGTTGACATACTGAATTTACACAATGGACCCAAATTCACACACAAAACATAAAATCCGAGTGGAAAAAAGTAACATTTTTACTGTGAAAACCACAAATATGTGTGATGAACTGTTTTTAAAACTTAAACTTCAAATAAAAATTGTAAACTTCAAAACATATGCAAATTTTTAACAAAGAACATAGTGATTTACCTCTATTTACATCAAAATGCAGGCAATGGCCCAGGCGTTCTTTGTAAAATTATTTACAAAACACTGTATAGTCTCACAAATGTCACTTTTTATTTATGCCACTACAAAAAAACATGATGTAAATGATGCATGATGTAAAACATGATGTAAAAAACTTGTGTAGATCCTCCTCTATGTCAGTCCATGTGTAATTTTTCCATAATTCTTTGTTTTTTGCAGCATTTTTGTTAGTGTAACTGCAGATTGTGCTGACAGTGGGTATGGCACAAAAAAAAAAAAAAAATTAAAATGCCTCAACATGAACCCCTGGTGGTCTCTGAGGGTGAAACCTGCTAACTGCTGCAGCTCTGTCAGCTTCAGTCTCCCATGCAGAGCTCTGAGCGCATGTGTGGCTCTGCACCCTTAGCAGCGTTGCTAACTCCTCAGTAAGGAAAGCCTGCTTCATGTCAGAGTCTCTAAACTCCAGAAGAAGTCGATAAAAGTCCCTTTCTTTCTAAAAAAAAGTCGTTAGGGGGTCTGAAAAGTCATTGAATCTAACAACAAAGTCGCTAGGTTTGCAACTACGTGTCCCAGACTGCATCCCTGCTGAGAGTCCCTCCCTCCCTTCTCATGTTGCAGGAAGAACGTAAGCGCCCGCCCCTTGTCAATCAGCCACCATATAATTTTGGATTGGTTGTTGTGGTGAAGTTTTCCACCAATAGGAGAGATGTTGTGGTGTGTTTTTTTTTCTTTTGGCAAGCCTTTTCCGCCTGTAAGACCTGTCGCTAATGTCTGCATGCTATGTTTTCCTGTCTCATACAGCGCGATCGAGCGCCGAACGTGATCAAAATAAGCAGAAAAAAAGTATCGCGGACATAATTTATCATAACTCTGGTTTTATTTGGCCTATCAACACAATTTAAAAACTGGTATATAGGTTGAGGTCCTCACTTTTGAGATAAGTTGAAACGGAGAGTCAACGAGGCTCCGTCTTGCAGCTACATCCGGTTAAATATGTCATGTGACTTGAACGCACACACAGACACACACACACACGCACACACACACACACACACACACACACTCAGAGTCTGGTTTTTAGCACCTGCAAAAACATGCTATTTACATATTTGACAAGAATGCAGAGGCTCCTTTTGCCCCTGAAAAAAATCAAATTTCAAACACAACTTGACTGGTCATTTCTCTAAAAGACAACCATGAAGCTCCATCCAAACCTGAAGCAGGCAGTTGGTGCATGTGTACAGTAACCTGAGGGGAGTGAGGTGAGTGCTTCTGAGGAGAACATGAGCAGTGAAGATTCACCTTGGAGCTAGAACAGAGACATGCACATGATTATACAGGGGCAGGGGCTCAAGTTTTTTCCAGTCGTTTATACAATATGGAAATTAATGTGAAATTAAAACACAAAGTATTAATAGAAAGGTAATGACTGTCCTGTGTAGGTGACAGTGATATCCAATAGGCTAGGCACTCACGAGGCTGGCTGTGGCAAGTGTAAGTGAAAGCAACACACACTGGCAGGAAGAACAGCAAACGCAGATGAAGGAAAAGGGTCTTTGCAGTGATGGGCGTTACCAGAGAGGGCGATGGCCAGAGGACACAAATGGGACGGGAAGGCAGCACGTTGGGGGGGGGGGGGGGGGACGCGACACGGCTCGGGCCCGCCAGTGCCCCAACGGGGTCCTAGTTATTATTTTTCCTCCCCTTTGAACTGGAAAATGGCCCACTTCTCACTGGCGAAAACTCATGAAATTTGGCAGGACGACCGGGCCTGGTGAAAAATTTGATATTCTGAAGTCGCCCAAACAATACAATGCAAAATGGCTCCATAGCGCCCCCTAAGGTGAAAAATTCACCTGACGCCTGTACGCTTTGTCAAAATGACACAAAAATTGACACACACATGTATCTCAATAAGATCTACAAAAAAGTCAGTGCGGGCGTATCTGTCAAATGTACGGTTAAAGGGTTATTGCGCATTTTTTGCCGATCCGCACACATTGGAATTTCGCTAACTCCTCCGAAGGCTTTCGTTCAACCGGCACCACATTTGCTCAGGCCAATCTACACCCCATGGCCATTAAAAGTTATTCAAATCATGACGCTGCACCCCACGGTTTAGGTTCTAGGGGGCGCCAAAGATAACCCTAAAATCCACATATTTAAAAGTCTTATAACTTTTTATTTTTGTCCTCACTGGCCTCCAAGTTTTCTAGGATGATGCAATGTCCAGCCATCAAAACATTTGTGAAGGAATTTTTACTCCCTAAAAGAGCGCCCCCCCATGGCAGGAGAAAAAAGTCCATTTTTTCTTGTCCCATAAGGTGAAAATACACATTGTTGACTGTCATACCTGTATGCTTTGTCATATTGACACAAAATTTGACACACACATGTATCTCAATAAGATCTACGAAAAAGTCAATGCGCGCGTATCTGTAAAATGTACGGTTAAAGGGCTATTTTGCATTTTTTGCCGATCCGCACACATTGGAATGTGGCTAATTCCTCCTAAGGCTTTCGTCCCACTGACACCAAATTTGCTCAGGCCAATCTACACCCCATGGCCATTCAAAGTTTTAAAAATCATGACGCTGCACCCCACGGTTTACGTTCTAGGGGGCGCCAAAGATGACCCAAATATCCACATTCTTAAAAGAATCCACATCCCTTTCCCCTCCCATCCCCCATCCCCCATGGCAGGAGAAACAGTCAAGTTTTTCCTGCCCATCACTCAATGGCTCAATCGCATCGCTCTCCCGGCAACACCGTAACGAGGAGCAACTTGCCGTTTGGATATATCCTAGCTGTGTTTGTGCCCTCACTCATGGTCCAGACTTTTTTCAAATAGGACATGTAGTTTGTCTGCAGCGAGTGTTTTGGTAGAAACTGCGCCTCCCATTCATTATAATGGGAAATGACCACAGACAAGTGCGCACACCATCTTTGGACCTTGAGTGTGACGCGATCGGGAGGGGGAGGCGGTTGCACTGGGGGCGGCGCAACGCGGCTCGGGCCCGCCAGTGCCCCAACGGGGCCCTAGTTAGGGCCCGAGCCAGCTGCAGAGCAGCCGGGCGTAGGCCCTATTATTCCCCAAGTGGTTTTTCTTTGTTTCTTTCTTTCTTTCTTTCTTTCTTTAGGGCCCGAGCGTAGCTGCTAAGCAGCTGCGAGAGCCCTCTTGTTCCTGTAGTTTCCTTCTTTTGTTATTATTATTTTTCCTCCCCTTTGAACTGGAAAATGGCCCACTTCCCACTGGCGAAAACTCATGAAATTTGGCAGGACGACCGGGCCTGGTGAAAAATTTGATATTCCGAAGTCGCCCAAACAAGAAAATGCAAAATGGCTCCATAGCGCCCCCTAAGGTGAAAATTCACACTATTGACTGTCACGCCTGTACGCTTTGTCAAAATGACACAAAAATTGACACACACATGTATCTCAATAAGATCTACAAAAAAGTCAGTGCGGGCGTATCTGTCAAATGTACGGTTAAAGGGTTATTTCGCATTTTTTGCCGATCCGCACACATTGGAATTTCGCTAACTCCTCCGAAGGCTTTCGTTCCACCGGCACCACATTTGCTCAGGCCAATCTACACCCCATGGCCATTAAAAGTTATTCAAATCATGACGCTGCACCCCACGGTTTAGGTTCTAGGGGGCGCCAAAGATAACCCTAAGATCCACATATTTAAAAGTCTTATAACTTTTTATTTTTGCCCTCACTGGCCTCCAAGTTTTCTAGGATGATGCAATGTCCAGCCATCAACACATTTGTGAAGGAATTTTTACTCCCCAAAAGAGCGCCCCCCCATGGCAGGAGAAAAAAGTCCATTTTTTCTTGTCCCATAAGGTGAAAAAACACATTGTTGAGTGTCACGCCTATACGCTTTGTCATATTGACACAAAATTTGACAATCACATGTATCTCAATAAGATCTACGAAAAAGTCAATGCGCGCGTATCTGTAAAATGTACGGTTAAAGGGCTATTTTGCATTTTTTGCCGATTCGCACACATTGGAATGTGGCTAACTACTCCTAAGGCTTTCGTCCCACTGACACCAAATTTGCTCAGGCCAATCTACACCCCATGGCCATTCAAAGTTGTAAAAATCATGACGCTGCACCCCACGGTTTACGTTCTAGGGGGCGCCAAAGATGACCCAAATATCCACATTCTTAAAAGAATCCACATCCCCCCCCGCCCCCATCCCCCAACCCCCATGGCAGGAGAAACAGTCAAGTTTTTCCTGCCCATCACTCAATGGCTCAATCGCATCACTCTCCCGGCAACACCGTAACGAGGAGCAACTTGCCGTTTGGATATATCCTAGCTGTGTTTGTGCCCTCACTCATGGTCCAGACTTTTTTCAAATAGGACATGTAGTTTGTCTGCAGCGAGTGTTTTGGTAGAAACTGCGCCTCCCATTCATTATAATGGGAAATGACCACAGACAAGTGCGCACACCATCTTTGGACCTTGAGTGTGACGCGATCGGGAGGGGGAGGCGGTCGCGCTGGGGGCGGCGCAACGCGGCTCGGGCCCGACAGTGCCCCACCGGGGCCCTAGTTCTTTCTTTCTTTCTTCTTTTTCCTCCCCTTTGAACTGGAAAATGGCCCACTTCCCACTGGCGAAAACTCATGAAATTTGGCAGGACGACCGGGCCTGGTGAAAAATTCGATATTCTGAAGTCGCCCAAACAATAAAATGCAAAATGGCTCCATAGCGCCCCCTAAGGTGGAAATTCACACTATTGACTGTCACGCCTGTACGCTTTGTCATATTGACACAAAAATTGACACACATATGTATCTCAATAAGATCTACAAAAAAGTCAGTGCGGCCGTATCTGTCAAATGTACGGTCAAAGGGTTATTTCGCATTTTTTGCCGATCCGCACACATTGGAATTTCGCTAACTCCTCCGAAGGCTTTCGTTCCACCGGCACCACATTTGCTCAGGCCAATCTACACCCCGTGGCCATTAAAAGTTATCAAAATCATGACGCTGCACCCCAAGGTTTAGGTTCTAGGGGGCGCCAAAGATAACACTAAAATCCACATATTTAAAAGTCTTATAACTTTTTATTTTTGTCCTCACTGGCCTCCAAGTTTTCTAGGATGATGCAATGTCCAGCCATCAACACATTTGTGAAGGAATTTTTACTCCCCAAAAGAGCGCCCCCCCATGGCAGAAGAAAAAAGTCCATTTTTTCTTGTCCCCTAAGGTGAAAATACACATTGTTGAGTGTCACGCCTATACGCTTTGTCAAAATGACACAAAAATTGACACACACATGTAACTCAATAAGATCTACGAAAAAGTCAATGTGCGCGTATCTGTCAAATGTACGGTTAAAGGGTTATTCCGCATTTTTTGCCGATCCGCACACATTGGAATGTGGCTAACTCCTCCTAAGGCTTTCGTTCCACCGGCACCACATTTGCTCAGGCCAATCTACACCCCATGGCCATTAAAAGTTATTCAAATCATGACGCTGCACCCCACGGTTTAGGTTCTAGGGGGCGCCAAAGATAACCCTAAAATCCACATATTTAAAAGTCTTATAACTTTTTATTTTTGTCCTCACTGGCCTCCAAGTTTTCTAGGATGATGCAATGTCCAGCCATCAACACATTTGTGAAGGAATTTTTACTCCCCAAAAGAGCGCCCCCCCATGGCAGGAGAAAAAAGTCCATTTTTTCTTGTCCCCTAAGGTGAAAATACATATTGTTGAGATTCACGCCTATACGCTTTGTCATATTGACACAAAATTTGACAATCACGTGCCTTGCCTGGTATCATTTTTTTCAGCACAACCTCACCTGTGCGAATTTACAGTTATTTTATCATGTTGACATACTGAATTTACACAATGGACCCAAATTCACACACAAAACATAAAATCCGAGTGGAAAAAAGTAACATTTTTACTGTGAAAACCACAAATATGTGTGATGAACTGTTTTTAAAACTTAAACTTCAAATAAAAATTGTAAACTTCAAAACATATGCAAATTTTTAACAAAGAACATAGTGATTTACCTCTATTTACATCAAAATGCAGGCAATGGCCCAGGCGTTCTTTGTAAAATTATTTACAAAACACTGTATAGTCTCACAAATGTCACTTTTTATTTATGCCACTACAAAAAAACATGATGTAAATGATGCATGATGTAAAACATGATGTAAAAAACTTGTGTAGATCCTCCTCTATGTCAGTCCATGTGTAATTTTTCCATAATTCTTTGTTTTTTGCAGCATTTTTGTTAGTGTAACTGCAGATTGTGCTGACAGTGGGTATGGCACAAAAAAAAAAAAAAAATTAAAATGCCTCAACATGAACCCCTGGTGGTCTCTGAGGGTGAAACCTGCTAACTGCTGCAGCTCTGTCAGCTTCAGTCTCCCATGCAGAGCTCTGAGCGCATGTGTGGCTCTGCACCCTTAGCAGCGTTGCTAACTCCTCAGTAAGGAAAGCCTGCTTCATGTCAGAGTCTCTAAACTCCAGAAGAAGTCGATAAAAGTCCCTTTCTTTCTAAAAAAAAGTCGTTAGGGGGTCTGAAAAGTCATTGAATCTAACAACAAAGTCGCTAGGTTTGCAACTACGTGTCCCAGACTGCATCCCTGCTGAGAGTCCCTCCCTCGCTTCTCATGTTGCAGGAAGAACGTAAGCGCCCTCCCCTTGTCAATCAGTCACCATATAATTTTGGATTGGTTGTTGTGGTGAAGTTTTCCACCAATAGGAGAGATGTTGTGGTGTGTTTTTTTTTTTCTTTTGGCAAGCCTTTTCCGCCTGTAAGACCTGTCGCTAATGTGTGCATGCTATGTTTTCCTGTCTCATACAGCGCGATCGAGCGCCGAACGTGATCAAAATAAGCAGAAAAAAAGTATCGCGGACATAATTTATCATAACTCTGGTTTTATTTGGCCTATCAACACAATTTAAAAACTGGTATATAGGTTGAGGTCCTCACTTTTGAGATAAGTTGAAACGGAGAGTCAACGAGGCTCCGTCTTGCAGCTACATCCGGTTAAATATGTCATGTGACTTGAACGCACACACAGACACACACACACGCACACACACACACACACACACACACACACACTCAGAGTCTGGTTTTTAGCACCTGCAAAAACATGCTATTTACATATTTGACAAGAATGCAGAGGCTCCTTTTGCCCCTGAAAAAAATCAAATTTCAAGCACAACTTGACTGCTCATTTCTCCAAAAGACAACCATGAAGCTCCATCCAAACCTGAAGCAGGCAGTTGGTGCATGTGTACAGTAACCTGAGGGGAGTGAGGTGAGTGCTTCTGAGGAGAACATGAGCAGTGAAGATTCACCTTGGAGCTAGAACAGAGACATGCACATGATTATACAGGGGCAGGGGCTCAAGTTTTTTCCAGTCGTTTATACAATATGGAAATTAATGTGAAATTAAAACACAAAGTATTAATAGAAAGGTAATGACTGTCCTGTGTAGGTGACAGTGATATCCAATAGGCTAGGCACTCACGAGGCTGGCTGTGGCAAGTGTAAGTGAAAGCAACACGCACTGGCAGGAAGAACAGCAAACGCCGATGAAGGAAAAGGGTCTTTGCAGTGATGGGCGTTACCAGAGAGGGCGATGGCCAGAGGACACAAATGGGACGGGGAGGCAGCACGTTGGGGGGGGGGGGGGGGGGAGACGCGACACGGCTCGGGCCCGCCAGTGCCCCAACGGGGTCCTAGTTAGGGCCCGAGCGTAGCTGCTAAGCAGCTGCGAGAGCCCTCTTGTTCCTGTAGTTTCCTTCTTTTGTTATTATTATTTTTCCTCCCCTTTGAACTGGAAAATGGCCCACTTCCCACTGGCGAAAACTCATGAAATTTGGCAGGACGACCGGGCCTGGTGAAAAATTTGATATTCCGAAGTCGCCCAAACAAGAAAATGCAAAATGGCTCCATAGCGCCCCCTAAGGCGAAAATTCACACTATTGACTGTCACGCCTGTACGCTTTGTCAAAATGACACAAAAATTGACACACACATGTATCTCAATAAGATCTACAAAAAAGTCAGTGCGGGCGTATCTGTCAAATGTACGGTTAAAGGGTTATTTCGCATTTTTTGCCGATCCGCACACATTGGAATTTCGCTAACTCCTCCGAAGGCTTTCGTTCCACCGGCACCACATTTGCTCAGGCCAATCTACACCCCATGGCCATTAAAAGTTATTCAAATCATGACGCTGCACCCCACGGTTTAGGTTCTAGGGGGCGCCAAAGATAACCCTAAAATCCACATATTTAAAAGTCTTATAACTTTTTATTTTTGCCCTCACTGGCCTCCAAGTTTTCTAGGATGATGCAATGTCCAGCCATCAACACATTTGTGAAGGAATTTTTACTCCCCAAAAGAGCGCCCCCCCATGGCAGGAGAAAAAAGTCCATTTTTTCTTGTCCCCTAAGGTGAAAATACACATTGTTGAGTGTAACACCTGTACGCTTTGGCAAAATGACACAAAAATTGACACACACATGTAACTCAATAAGATCTACAAAAAAGTACATGCGCGCGTATCTGTCAAATGTACAGTTAAAGGGTTATTCCGCATTTTTTGCCGATACGCACACATTGGAATTTCGCTAACTCCTCCGAAGGCTTTCGTTCCACCGGCACCACATTTGCTCAGGCCAATCTACACCCCATGGCCATTAAAAGTTATTCAAATCATGATGCTGCACCCCATGGTTTAGGTTCTAGGGGGCGCCAAAAATAACCCAAAAATCCACATTCTTAAATGTTTTATAACTTTTTATTTTTGTCCTCACTGGCCTCCAAGTTTTCTAGGATGATGCAATGTCCAGCCATCAACACATTTGTGAAGGAATTTTTACTCCCCAAAAGAGCGCCCCCCCATGGTAGGAGAAAAAAGTCAATTTTTTCTTGTCCCCTTACATGAAAATACACATTGTTGAGTGTCACGCCTGAACGCTTTGTCATATTGACAAAAAAATTGACAATCATGTGTATCTCAATTAGATCTACGAAAAAGTCAAAGAGCGCGTATCTTTATAATGTACGGTTAAAGGGCTATTTTGCATTTTTTGCCGATTCGCACACATTGGAATGTGGCTATCTCCTCCTAAGGCTTTCGTCCCACCGATACCAAATTTGCTCAGGGCAATCTACACCCCATGCCCATTCAAAGTTGTAAAAATCATGACGCTGCACCCCACGGTTTACGTTCTAGGGGGCGCCAAAGATGACCCAAAAATCCACATTCTTAAAGGAATCCACATCCCCCCCCAAGGCAGGAGAAAAAGTCAAGTTAACCCTGCCCATCGCTCAATGGCTCAATCGCATCGCTCTCCAGGCAACACCGTAAGGAGGAGCAACCTGCCATTTCGATATATCATAGCTGTGTTTGTGCCCTCACTCATGGTCCAGACTTTTTTCAAATAGGACATGAAGTTTGTCTGCAGCGAGTGTTTTGGTAGAAACTGCGCCTCCCATTCATTATAATGGGAAATGACCACAGACAAGTGCGCACACCATCTTTGGACCTTGAGTGTGACGCGATCGGGAGGGGGAGGCGGTCGCGCTAGGGGCGGCGCGACGCGGCTCGGGCCCGACAGTGCCCCACCGGGGCCCTAGTTCTTTCTTTCTTTCTTCTTTTTCCTCCCCTTTGAACTGGAAAATGGCCCACTTCCCACTGGCGAAAACTCATGAAATTTGGCAGGACGACCGGGCCTGGTGAAAAATTCGATATTCTGAAGTCGCCCAAACAATAAAATGCAAAATGGCTCCATAGCGCCCCCTAAGGTGGAAATTCACACTATTGACTGTCACGCCTGTACGCTTTGTCATATTGACACAAAAATTGACACACATATGTATCTCAATAAGATCTACAAAAAAGTCAGTGCGGCCGTATTTGTCAAAATTACGGTTAAAGGGTTATTTCGCATTTTTTGCCGATCCGCACACATTGGAATTTCGCTAACTCCTCCGAAGGCTTTCTTTCCACCGGCACCACATTTGTTTAGGCCAATCTACACCCCGTGGCCATTAAAAGTTATCAAAATCATGACGCTGCACCCCAAGGTTTAGGTTCTAGGGGGCGCCAAAGATAACACTAAAATCCACATATTTAAAAGTCTTATAACTTTTTATTTTTGTCCTCACTGGCCTCCAAGTTTTCTAGGATGATGCAATGTCCAGCCATCAACACATTTGTCAAGGAATTTTTACTCCCCAAAAGAGCGCCCCCCCATGGCAGGAGAAAAAAGTCCATTTTTTCTTGTCCCCTAAGGTGAAAATACACATTGTTGAGTGTCACGCCTATACGCTTTGTCAAAATGACACAAAAATTGACACACACATGTAACTCAATAAGATCTACGAAAAAGTCAATGCGCGCGTATCTGTCAAATGTACGGTTAAAGGGTTATTCCGCATTTTTTGCCGATCCGCACACATTGGAATGTGGCTAACTCCTCCGAAGGCTTTCTTTCCACCGGCACCACATTTGCTCAGGCCAATCTACACCCCATGGCCATTAAAAGTTATTCAAATCATGACGCTGCACCCCACGGTTTAGGTTCTAGGGGGCGCCAAAGATAACCCTAAAATCCACATATTTAAAAGTCTTATAACTTTTTATTTTTGCCCTCACTGGCCTCCAAGTTTTCTAGGATGATGCAATGTCCAGCCATCAACACATTTGTGAAGGAATTTTTACTCCCCAAAAGAGCGCCCCCCCCCATGGCCGGAGAAAAAAGTCCATTTTTTCTTGTCCCATAAGGTGAAAATACACATTGTTGAGTGTCACGCCTGTACGCTTTGTCATATTGACACAAAATTTGACACACACATGTATCTCAATAAGATCTACGAAAAAGTCAATGCGCGCGTATGTGTCAAATGTACGGTTAAAGGGTTATTCCGCATTTTTTGCTGATCCGCACACATTGGAATTTCGCTAACTCCTCCTAAGGCTGGCGTTCCACCGGCACCACATTTGCTCAGGCCAATCTACACCCCATGGCCATTAAAAGTTATTCAAATCATGACGCTGCACCCCACGGTTTACGTTCTAGGGGGCGCCAAAGATAACCCAAAAATCCAAATTTTCAAAAGTCTTATAACTTTTTATTTTTGTCCTCACTGGCCTCCAAGTTTTCTAGGATAATGCAATGTTCAGCCATCAACACAATTGTGAAGGAATTTTTACTCCCCAAAAGAGCGCCCCCCCATGGCCGGAGAAAAAGTCAAGTTGTTCCTGCCCATCGCTCAATGGCTTAAACGCATCGCTCTCTCGGCAAAACCGAAAGGAGGAGCAACTTGCCATTTGGATATATCTTAGCTGTGTTTGTGCCCTCACTCATGTTCTAGACTTTTTTCAAATAGGACATGGAGTTTGTCTGCAGCGAGCGTTTTGGTAGAAACCGCGCCTCCCATTCATTATAATGGTAAATGACCACAGACAAGTGCGCACACCATCTTTGGACCTTGAGTGTGACGCGATCGGGAGGGGTAGGCGGTCGCGCTGGGGGTGGCGCGACACGGCTCGGGCCCGCCAGTGCCCCAACGGGGCCCTAGTTATTATTTTTCCTCCGCTTTAAACTGGAAAATGGCCCACTTCCCACTGGCGAAAACTCAGGAAATTTGGCAGGACGACCGGGCCTGGTGAAAAATTTGATATTCTGAAGTCGCCCAAACAATAAAATGCAAAATGGCTCCATAGCGCCCCCTAAGGTGAAAATTCACATGACGGCTGTACGCTTTGTCATATTGACACAAAAATTGACACACACATGTATCTCAATAAGATCTACAAAAAAGTCAGCGCAGGCGTATCTGTCAAATGTACGGTTAATGGGTTATTTTGCATTTTTTGCCGATCTGCACACATTGGAATTTCGCTAACTCCTCCGAAGGCATTCGTTCCACCGGCACCACATTTGCTCAGGCCAATCTACACCCCATGGCCATTAAAAGTTGTACAAATCATGACGCTGCACCCCACGGTTTACGTTCTAGGGGGCGCCAAAGATAACCCAAAAATCCACAGTCTTATAAGTCTTATAACTTTTTATTTTTGTCCTCACTGGCCTCCAAGTTCTCTAGGATGATGCAATGTCCAGCCATCAACACATTTGTGAAGGAATTTTTACTCCCCAAAAGAGCGCCCCCACATGGCAGGAGAAAAAAGTCCATTTTTTCTTGTCCCCTAAGGTGAAAATACACATTGTTGAGTGTCACGCCTATACGCTTTGTCATATTGACCCAAAATTTGACAATCACGTGTATCTCAATAAGATCTACGAAAAAGTCAATAGGCACGTATCTGTAAAATGTACGGTTAAAGGGTTATTTTGCATTTTTTCCCGATCCGCACACATTGGAATTTCGCTAACTCCTCCGAAGGCTTTAGTTCCACCGCCACCAAATTTGCTCAGGCCAATCTACACCCCATGGCCATTCAAAGTTGTACAAATCATGACGCTGCACTCCACGGTTTAGGTTCTAGGGGGCGCCAAAGATGACCCAAATATACATTACAGCAGACAAAGTAGTTTTGCCCACTGAGTGGCGCCAAAGGGACTTGTCTATTGAGTCTGGGAGTCACTATTGGCCGTTTTTGACTACTTTAGATTTTACCTTTATATTTCCTCTTAAAATTTTTTTACCTTGCCTTGCCTGGTATCATTTTTTTTCAGCACAACCTCACCTGTGTGAATTTACAGTTATTTTATCATTTTGACATACTGTATTTACACAATGGACCCAAATTCACACACAAAACATAAAATCCGAGTGGAAAAAAGTAACATTTTTACTGTGAAAACCACAAATATGTGTGATGAACTGTTTTTAAAACTTAAACTTCAAATAAAAATTGTAAACTTCAAAACATATGCAAATTTTTAACAAAGAACATAGTAATTTACCTCTATTTACATCAAAATGCAGGCAATGGCCCAGGCGTTCTTTGTAAAATTATTTACAAAACGCTGTATAGTCTCACAAATGTCACTTTTATTTATGCCACTACAAAAAATCATGATGTAAATGATGCATGATGTAAAACATGATGTAAAAAACTTGTGTAGATCCTCCTCTATGTTAGTCCATGTGTAATTTTTCCATAATTCTTTGTTTTTTGCAGCATTTTTGTTAGTGTAACTGCAGATTGTGCTGACAGTGTCTATGGCAAAAAAAAAAAAAAAACTGAAAATGCCTCAACATGAACCCCTGGTGGTCTCTGAGGGTGAAACCTGCTAACTGCTGCAGATCTGTCAGCTTCATGCAGAGCTCGGAGCACATGTGTGGCTCTGCACCATTAGCAGCGTTGCTAACTCCTCAGTAAGGAAAGCCTGCTTCATGTCTGAGTCTCTAAACTCCAGAAGAAGTCGATAGAAGTCCCTTTCTTTCTAAAAAAAAAAAAGGCGTTAGGTGGTCTGAAAAGTCTTTGAATCTAACAACAAAGTCGCTAGGTTTGCAACTACGTGTCCCAGACTGCATCCCTGCTGAGAGTCCCTCCCTCCCTTCTCATGTTGCAGGAAGACCGTAAGCGCCCGCCCCTTGTCAATCAGTCACCATATAATTTTGGATTGGTTGTTGTGGTGAAGTTTTCCACCAATAGGAGAAATGTTGTGGTGTGTTTTTTTTTTCTTTTGGCAAGCCTTTTCCGCCTGTAAGACCTGTCGCTAATGTCTGCATGCTATGTTTTCCTGTCTCATACAGCGCGATCGAGCGCCGAACGTGATCAAAATAAGCAGAAAAAAAGTATTGCAGACATAATTTATCATAACTCTGGTTTTATTTGGCCTATCAACACAATTTAAAAACTGGTATATAGTTTAAGGTCCTCACTTTGGAGATAAGTTGAAACGGAGAGTCAACGAGGCTCCGTCTTGCAGCTACATCCGGTTAAATATGTCATGTGACTTGAACGCTGGGGAGCGTCAATCGACTGCAGAGCCAGCAGACAAAGTAGTTATGGCCATTGAGAGGCACACATTTGTCATATGCTATAATCCTAACATATTTTAATGCTTTTTCTATTTAAACCTAATGGATCTAAGGTTTGACCTTCAAAATTTAGGAAGAATATGTTTTTGCAGAAATGACCCCCTTAAACAACCAGAGGTCCTTTCCTAAAGTTTATGGAAATTTTAGTGAAGGCCTTGGTTTCTGTCCTTGCAAAATGCATAGAAATAATAAAGCTAAATACCATAAAATGGTCTTGGCGTATTAGCAGTGATATAAAATAGTGGTTTGAATATGAATGAACAACAAAAAAAAACATCAACAGAGCCTTTTTGTGTTGGGATTCTTTCATTATTACACAAAAACAGACATAGACAGACATCTAAAGGGTAAGGGAATGATCAGCCCTCCTGACTCTCAGATGAATCTTCAAAATTCACCTCAGAAATATGCTTATTCTTCTCAGAGTACTGCAGGATTCACACACACACACACACACACACACACACACACACACACACACACACACACACACACACACTCAGAGTCTTTTTTTTAGCACCTGCAAAAACATGCTATTTACATATTTGACAAGAATGCAGAGGCTCCTTTTGCCCCTGAAAAAAATCAAATTTCAAACACAACTTGACTGCTCATTTCTCCAAAAGACAAACATGAAGCTCCATCCAAACCTGAAGCAGGCAGTTGGTGCATGTGTATAGTAACCTGAGGGGAGTGAGGTGACTGCTTCTGAGGAGAACATGAGCAGTGAAGATTCACCTTGGAGCTAGAACAGGGACGTGCACATGATTATACAGGGGCAGGGGCTCAAGTTTTTTCCAGTCGTTTATACAATATGGAAATTAATGTGAAATTAAAAACAAAGTATTAATAGAAAGGTAATGACTGTCCTGTGTAGGTGACCGTGATATCCAATAGGCTAGGCACTCACAAGGCTGGCTGTGGCAAGTGTAAGTGAAAGCAACATGCACTGGCAGGAAGAACAGCTAACACAGATGAAGGAAAAGGGTCTTTGCAGTGATGGGCGTCACCAGAGAGGGCGACAGCCAGAGGACGTGAATGGGACAGGGAGGCGGTCGCGCTGGGGGCGGCGCGACGCGGCTCGGGCCCGACAGTGCCCCACCGGGGCCCTAGTTCTTTCTTTCTTTCTTTCTTCTTATTTTTCCTCCCCTTTGAAGGGGAAAATGGCCCACTTCCCACTGGCGAAAACTCATGAAATTTGGCAGGATGACCGGGCCTGGTGAAAAATTCGATATTCTGAAGTCGCCCAAACAATAAAATGCAAAATGGCTCCATAGCGCCCCCTAAGGTGGAAATTCACACTATTGACTGTCACGCCTGTACGCTTTGTCATATTGACACAAAAATTGACACACACATGTATCTCAATACGATCTACAAAAAAGTCAGTGTGGGCGTATCTGTCAAATGTACAGTTAAAGGGTTATTTCGCATTTTTTGCCGATCCGCACACATTGGAATTTCGCTAACTCCTCCTAAGGCTTTTGTTCCACCGGCACCAAATTTGCTCAGGCCAATCTACACCCCATGGCCATTAAAAGTTGTACAAATCATGACGCTGCACCCCACGGTTTAGGTTCTAGGGGGCGCCAAAGATAACCCAAAAATCCACAGTCTTAAAAGTCTTATAACGTTTTATTTTTGTCCTCACTGGCCTCCAAGTTCTCTAGGATGATGCAATGTCCAGCAATTAACACATTTGTGAAGGAATTTTTACTCGCCAAAAGAGCGCCCCCCCATGGCAGGGGAAAAAAGTCCATTTTTTTCTTGTCCCCTAAGGCGAAAATTCACATTGTTGAGTGTCACGCCTGTACGCTTTGTCATATTGACACAAAATTTGACAATCACGTGTATCTCAATAAGATCTACGAAAAAGTCAATGCGCGCGTATCTGTAAAATGTACGGTTAAAGGGCTATTTCGCATTTTTTGCCGATTCGCACACATTGGAATGTGGCTAACTCCTCCTAAGGCTTTCGTTCCACCGACACCAAATTTGCTCAGGCCAATCTACACCCCATGGCCATTCAAAGTTGTAAAAATCATGACGCTGCACCCCATGGTTTACGTTCTAGGGGGCGCCAAAGAGGACCCAAATATCCACATTTTTAAAAGTCTTATGACTTTATTTTTGTCCTCACTGGCCTCCAAGTTTTCTAGGATGATGCAATGTTCAGTCATCAACACATTTGTGAAGGAATTTTTCTCCCCAAAAGAGCGCCCCCCATGGCAGGAGAAAAAGTCAAGTTTTTCCTGCCCATCGCTCAATGGCTCAAACGCATCGCTCTCTCGGCAAAACCGAAAGGAGGAGCACCTTGCCATTTGGATATATACTAGCTGTGTTTGTGCCCTCACTCATGGTCCAGACTTTTTTCAAAAAGGACATGGAGTTTTTTCTGCAGCAAGCGTTTTGGTAGAAACTGCGCCTCCCATTCATTATAATGGTAAATGACCACAGACAAGTGCGCACACCATCTTTGGACCTTGAGTGTGACGCCATCGGGAGGGGTAGGCGGTCGCGCTGGGGGCGGCGCGACACGGCTCGGGCCCGCCAGTGCCCCAACGGGGCCCTAGTTATTATTTTTCCTCCGCTTTAAACTGGAAAATGGCCCACTTCCCACTGGCGAAAACTCAGGAAATTTGGCAGGACGACCGGGCCTGGTGAAAAATTCGATATTCTGAAGTCGCCCAAACAATAAAATGCAAAATGGCTCCATAGCGCCCCCTAAGGTGAAAATTCACACTATTGACTGTCACGCCTGTACGCTTTGTCATATTGACACAAAAATTGACACACACATGTATCTCAATAAGATCTACAAAAAAGTCAGTGCGGGCGTATCTGTCAAATGTACGGTTAAAGGGTTATTTCGCATTTTTTGCAGATCCGCACACATTGGAATTTTGCTAACTCCTCCGAAGGCTTTCGTTCCACCGGCACCAAATTTGCTCAGGCCAATCTACACCCCATGGCCATTCAAAGTTGTACAAATCATGATGCTGCACCCCATGGTTTAGGTTCTAGGGGGCGCCAAAGATAACCCAAAAATCCACAGTCTTAAAAGTCTTATAACTTTTTATTTTTGTCCTCACTGGCCTCCAAGTTCTCTAGGATGATGCAATGTCCAGCAATTAACACATTTGTGAAGGAGTTTTTACTCGCCAAAAGAGCGCCCCCCCATGGCAGGAGAAAAAAGTCCATTTTTTCTTGTCCCCTAAGGTGAAAATACACATTGTTTAGTGTCACGCCTGTACGCTTTGGCAAAATGACACAAAAATTGACACACACATGTATCTCAATAAGATCTACGAAAAAGTCAATGCGCGCGTATCTGTAAAATGTACGGTTAAAGGGCTATTTCGCATTTTTTGCCGATTCGCACACATTGGAATGTGGCTAACTCCTCCTAAGGCTTTCGTTCCACTGACACCAAATTTGCTCAGGCCAATCTACACCCCATGGCCATTCAAAGTTGTAAAAATCATGACGCTGCACCCCACGGTTTACGTTCTAGGGGGCGCCAAAGAGGACCCAAATATCCACATTTTTAAAAGTCTTATAACTTTATTTTTGTCCTCACTGGCCTCCAAGTTTTCTAGGATGATGCAATGTTCAGTCATCAACACATTTGTGAAGGAATTTTTTCTCCCCATAAGAGCGCCCCCCCATGGCAGGGGAAAAAGTCAAGTTTTTCCTGCCCATCGCTCAATGGCTCAAACGCATCGCTCTCTCGGCAAAACCGAAAGGAGGAGCAACTTGCCATTTGGATATATACTAGCTGTGTTTGTGCCCTCACTCCTGGTCCAGAATTTTTTCAAAAAGGACATGGAGTATGTCTGCAGCGAGCGTTTTGGTAGAAACTGCGCCTCCCATTCATTATAATGGTAAATGACCACAGACAAGTGCGCACACCATCTTTGGACCTCGAGTGTGACGCGATCGGGAGGGGTAGGCGGTCGCGCGGGGGGCGGCGCGACACGGCTCGAGCCCGCCAGTGCCCCGACGGGGCCCTAGTTAGGGCCCGAGCCAGCTGCAGAGCAGCCGGGCGTAGGCCCTATTATTCCCCAAGTGGTTTTTCTTTGTTTCTTTCTTTCTTTCTTTCTTTCTTTCTTTCTTTCTTAGGGCCCGAGCGTAGCTGCTAAGCAGCTGCGAGAGCCCTCTTGTTCCTGATGGATTCTTCTTTCGTTATTTTTCCTCCGCTTTAAACTGGAAAATGGCCCACTTCCCACTGGCGAAAACTCAGGAAATTTGGCAGGACGACCGGGCCTGGTGAAAAATTTGATATTCTGAAGTCGTCCAAACAAAAAAATGAAAAATGGCTCCATAGCGCCCCCTATGGTGAAAACTCACCTGATGCCTGTACGCTTTGTCAAAATGACACAAAATTTGACACACATGTGTATCTCAATAAGATCTACGAAAAAGTCAGTGCGGGCGTATCTGCCAAATGTACGGTTAAAGGGCTATTTCGCTTTTTTTGCCGATCCGCACACATTGGAATTTCGCTAACTCCTCCGAAGGCTTTCGTTCCACCGGCACCAAATTTGCTCAGGCCAATCTACACCCCATGGCCATTAAAAGTTGTACAAATCATGATGCTGCACCCCACGGTTTACTTTCTAGGGGGCGCCAAAGATAACCCAAAAATCCACATTCTTAAAAGTCTTATAACTTTTTATTTTTGTCCTCACTGGCCTCCAAGTTTTCTAGGATGATGCGATGTCCAGCCATCAACACATTTGTGAAGGAATTTTTACTCCCCAAAAGAGCGCCCCCCCATGGCAGGAGAAAAAAGTCCATTTTTTCTTGTCTCCTAAGGTAAAAATACACATTGTTGAGTGTCACGCCTATACACTTTGTCATATTGACACACAATTTGACAATCACGTGTATCTCAATAAGATCTACAAAAAAGTCAATAGGCACGTATCTGTCAAATGTATGGTTAAAGGGCTATTTCGCATTTTTTGCCGATTCGCACACATTGGAATGTGGCTATCTCCTCCTAAGGCTTTTGTCCCACCGATACCAAATTTGCTCAGGGCAATCTACACCCCATGGCCATTCAAAGTTGTAAAAATCATGACGCTGCACCCCACGGTTTACGTTCTAGGGGGCGCCAAAGATGACCCAAAAATCCACATTCTTAAAAGTCATTTTGGCCACTGCAGGAGTACAGAGTACTGCAGTTCTAGGGGGCGCCAAAGATGACCCAAAAATCCACATTCTTAAAAGTCTTTTTGGCCACTGCAGGAGTACAGAGTACTGCCGGACACACACACATATACACACACGCCACACACACACACACACACACACACACACACACACACACACACACTCAGAGTCTGTTTTTTAGCACCTGCAAAAACATGCTGTTTACATATTTGACAAGAATGCAGAGGCTTCCTTTTGCCCCTGAAAAAAATCAAATTTCAAACACAACTTGACTGTTCATTTCTCCAAAAGACAACCATGAAGCTCCATCCAAACCTGAAGCAGATAGTTGGTGCATGTGTACAGTAACCTGAGGAGAGTGAGGTGACTACTTCTGAGGAGAACATGAGCAGTGAAGATTCACCTTGGAGCTAGAACAGGGACGTGCACATGATTATACAGGGGCAGGGGCTCAAGTTTTTTCCAGTCATTTATACAATATGGAAATTAATGTGAAATTAAACCACAAATATGTGTGATGAACTGTTTTTAAAACTTAAACTTCAAATAAAAATTGTAAACTTCAAAACATATGCAAATTTTTAACAAAGAACATAGTAATTTACCTCTATTTACATCAAAATGCAGGCAATGGCCCAGGCGTTCTTTGTAAAATTATTTACAAAACACTGTATAGTCTCACAAATGTCACTTTTTATTTATGCCACTACAAAAAAACATGATGTAAATGATGCATGATGTAAAACATGATGTAAAAAACTTGTGTAGATCCTCCTCTATGTCAGTCCATGTGTAATTTTTCCATAATTCTTTGTTTTTTGCAGCATTTTTGTTAGTGTAACTGCAGATTGTGCTGACAGTGTCTATGGCAAAAAAAAAAAAAACTGAAAATGCCTCAACATGAACTCCTGGTGGTCTCTGAGGGTGAAACCTGCTAACTGCTGCAGCTCTCTCAGCTCTAGTCTCCCATGCAGAGCTCGGAGCGCATGTGTGGCTCTGCACCCTTAGCAGCGTTGCTAACTCCTCATTAAGGAAAGCCTGCTTCATGTCAGAGTCTCTAAACTCCAGAGGAAGTCGATAAAATTCCCTTTCTTTCTAAAAAAAAGTCATTAGGGGGTCTGAAAAGTCATTGAATCTAACAACAAAGTCGCTAGGTTTGCAACTACGTTTCCCAGACTGCATCCCTGCTGAGAGTTCCTCCCTCCCTTCTCATATTGCAGGAAGAACGTAAGCGCCCGCCCCTTGTCAATCAGTCACCATATAATTTTGGATTGGTTGTTGTGGTGAAGTTTTCCACCAATAGGAGAGATGTTGTGGTGTGTTTTTTTCTTTTGGCATGCCTTTTCCGCCTGTAAGAGCTGTCGCTAATGTCTGCATGCTATGTTTTCCTGTCTCATACAGCGTGATCGAGCGCCGAACGTGATCAAAATAAGCAGAAAAAAAGTATCGCGGACATAATTTATCATAACTCTGGTTTTATTTGGCCTATCAACACAATTTAAAAACTGGTATATAGTTTGAGGTCCTCACTTTTGAGATAAGTTGAAACGGAGGGTGAACGAGGCTCCGTCTTGAAGCTACATCCGGTTAAATATGTCATGTGACTTGAACGCTGGGGAGCGTCAATCGACTGCAGAGCCAGCAGACAAAGTAGTTATGCCACTGAGAGGCACACATTTGTCATATGCTATAATCCTAACATATTTTAATGCTTTTTCTATTTAAACCTAATGGATCTAAGGTTTGACCTTCAAAATTTAGGAAGAATATTTTTTTGCAGTAATGACCCCCTTAAACAACCAGAGGTCCTTTCCTAAAGTTTATGGAAATTTTAGTGAAGGCCTTGGTTTCTTTCCTTGCAAAATGTATAGAAATAATAAAGCTAAATACCATAAAATGGTCTTGGCGTATTAGCAGTGATATAAAATAGTGGTTTGAATATGAATGAACAACAAAAAAAAACATCAGCAGAGCCTTTTTGAGTTGGGATTCTTTCATTATCACACAAAAACAGACATAGACAGACATCTAAAGGGTCAGGGAATGATCAGCCCTCCTAACTCTCAGATGAATCTTCAAAATTCACCGCAGAAATATGCTTATTATTCTTCTCAGAGTACTGCAAGATATATACACACACACAGACACACACACACACACACACACAGACACACTCAGAGTCTGGTTTTTAGCACCTGCAAAAACATGCTATTTACATATTTGACAAGAATGCAGAGGCTCCTTTTGCCCCTGAAAAAAATCAAATTTCAAACACAACTTGACTGCTCATTTCTCCAAAAGACAACCATGAAGCTCCATCCAAACCTGAAGCAGGCAGTTGGTGCATGTGTACAGTAACCTGAGGGGAGTGAGGTGAGTGCTTCTGAGGAGAACATGAGCAGTGAAGATTCACCTTGGAGCTAGAACAGAGACATGCACATGATTATACAGGGGCAGGGGCTCAAGTTTTTTCCAGTCGTTTATACAATATGGAAATTAATGTGAAATTAAAACACAAAGTATTAATAGAAAGGTAATGACTGTCCTGTGTAGGTGACAGTGATATCCAATAGGCTAGGCACTCACGAGGCTGGCTGTGGCAAGTGTAAGTGAAAGCAACACGCACTGGCAGGAAGAACAGCAAACGCCGATGAAGGAAAAGGGTCTTTGCAGTGATGGGCGTTACCAGAGAGGGCGATGGCCAGAGGACACAAATGGGACGGGGAGGCAGCACGTTGGGGGGGGGGGACGCGACACGGCTCGGGCCCGCCAGTGCCCCAACGGGGTCCTAGTTAGGGCCCGAGCGTAGCTGCTAAGCAGCTGCGAGAGCCCTCTTGTTCCTGATGGATTCTTCTTTCATTATTTTTCCTCCGCTTTAAACTGGAAAATGGCCCACTTCCCACTGGCGAAAACTCAGGAAATTTGGCAGGACGACCGGGCCTGGTGAAAAATTTGATATTCTGAAGTCGCCCAAACAAAAAAATGAAAAATGGCTCCATAGCACCCCCTATGGTGAAAACTCACCTGACGCCTGTACGCTTTGTCAAAATGACACAAAATTTGACACACATGTGTATCTCAATAAGATCTACAAAAAAGTCAGTGCGGGCGTATCTGTCAAATGTACGGTTAAAGGGCTATTTCGCATTTTTTGCCGATCCGCACACATTGGAATTTCGCTAACTCCTCCGAAGGCTTTCGTTCCACCGGCACCAAATTTGCTCAGGCCAATCTACACCCCATGGCCATTAAAAGTTGTACAAATCATGACGCTGCACCCCACGGTTTATGTTCTAGGGGGCGCCAAAGATAACCCAAAAATCCACATTCTTAAAAGTCTTATAACTTTTTATTTTTGTCCTCACTGGCCTCCAAGTTTTCTAGGATGATGCTATGTCCAGCCATCAACACATGTGTGAAGGAATTTTTACTCCCCAAAAGAGCGCCCCCCCATGGCAGGAGAAAAAAGTCAAGTTTTTCTTGTCCCCTAACATGAAAATACACATTGTTGAGTGTCACGCCTAAACGCTTTGTCATATTGACACAAAAATTGACACACACGTGTATCTCAATAAGATCTACGAAAAAGTCAAGAGCGCGTATCTGTATAATGTACGGTTAAAGGTTTATTTCGCATTTTTTGCCGATCCGCACACATTGGAATTTCGCTAACTCCTCCGAAGGCTTTCATTCCACCGGCACCAAATTTGCTCAGGCCAATCTACACCCCATGGCCATTAAAAGTTGTAAAAATCATGACGCTGCACCCCACGGTTTAGGTTCTAGGGGGCGCCAAAGATAACCCTAAAATCCAAATATTTAAAAGTCTTATAACTTTTTATTTTTGTCCTCACTGGCCTCCAAGTTTTCTAGGATGATGCAATGTCCAGCCATCAACACATTTGTGAAGGAATTTTTACTCCCCAAAAGAGCGCCCCCCCATGGCAGGAGAAAAAAGTCAATTTTTTCTTGTCCCCTAAGGTGAAAATACACATTGTTGAGTGTCACGCCTGAACTCTTTGTCATATTGACACAAAAATTGACAATCATGTGTATCTCAATTAGATCTACGAAAAAGTCAAAGAGCGCGTATCTGTATAATGTACGGTAAAAGGGCTATTTTGCATTTTTTGCCGATTCGCACACATTGGAATTTCGCTAACTCCTCCGAAGGCTTTCGTCCCACCGACACCATAGTTGCTCAGGCCAATCTACAACCCATGGCCATTCAAAGTTGTACAAATCATGACGCTGCACCCCACGGTTTAGGTTCTAGGGGGCGCCAAAGATAACCCAAAAATCCACAGTCTTAAAAGTCTTATAACTTTTTATTTTTGTCCTCACTGGCCTCCAAGTTCTCTAGGATGATGCAATGTCCAGCCATCAACACATTTGTGAAGGAATTTTTACTCCCCAAAAGAGCGCCCCCCCATGGCAGGAGAAAAAAGTCCATTTTTTCTTGTCCCCCAAGGCGAAAATACACATTGTTGAATGTCACGCCTGTACGCTTTGTCATGTTGACACAAAATTTGACAATCACGTGCATCTCAATAAGATCTACGAAAAAGTCAATGCGTGCGTATCTGTAAAATGTACGGTTAAAGGGCTTTTTCGCATTTTTTGCAGATTCGCACACATTGGAATGTGGCTTAGTCCTCCTAAGGCTTTCGTCCCACTGACACCAAATTTGCTCAGGCCAATCTACACCCCATGGCCATTCAAAGTTGTAAAAATCATGACGCTGCACCCCACGGTCTACGTTCTAGGGGGCGCCAAAGAGGACCCAAACATCCACATTTTTAAAAGTCTTATAACTTTTTATTTTTGTGCTCACTGGCCTCCAAGTTTTCTAGGATGATGCAATGTCCAGCCATCAACACATTTGTGAAGGAATTTTTACTCCCCAAAAGAGCGCCCCCCCATGGCAGGAGAAAAAGTCAAGTTTTTCCTGCCCATCGCTCAATGGCTCAAATGTATCGCTCTCTCGGCAAAACCGAAAGGAGGAGCAACTTGCCATTTGGATATATACTAGCTGTGTTTGTGCCCTCACTCATGGTCCAGACTTTTTTCAAAAAGGACATGGAGTTTGTCTGCAGCGAGCGTTTTGGTAGAAACTGCGCCTCCCATTCATTATAATGGTAAATGACCACAGACAAGTGCGCACACCATCTTTGGACCTTGAGTGTGACGCGATCGGGAGGGGTAGGCGGTCGCACTGGGGGCGGCGCGACACGGCTCGGGCCCGCCAGTGCCCCACCGGGGCCCTAGTTAGGGCCCGAGCCAGCTGCAGAGCAGCCGGGCGTAGGCCCTATTATTCCCCAAGTGGTTTTTCTTTGTTTCTTTCTTTCTTTCTTTCTTTCTTCTTTTTCCTCCCCTTTGAACTGGAAAATGGCCCACTTCCCACTGGCGAAAACTCATGAAATTTGGCAGGACGACCGGGCCTGGTGAAAAATTCGATATTCTGAAGTCGCCCAAACAATAAAATGCAAAATGGCTCCATAGCGCCCCCTAAGGTGGAAATTCACACTATTGACTGTCACGCCTGTACGCTTTGTCATATTGACACAAAAATTGACACACATATGTATCTCAATAAGATCTACAAAAAAGTCAGTGCGGCCGTATCTGTCAAAATTACGGTTAAAGGGTTATTTCGCATTTTTTGCCGATCCGCACACATTGGAATTTCGCTAACTCCTCCGAAGGCTTTCGTTCCACCGGCACCACATTTGCTCAGGCCAATCTACACCCCGTGGCCATTAAAAGTTATCAAAATCATGACGCTGCACCCCAAGGTTTAGGTTCTAGGGGGCGCCAAAGATAACACTAAAATCCACATATTTAAAAGTCTTATAACTTTTTATTTTTGTCCTCACTGGCCTCCAAGTTTTCTAGGATGATGCAATGTCCAGCCATCAACACATTTGTGAAGGAATTTTTACTCCCCAAAAGAGCGCCCCCCCATGGCAGGAGAAAAAAGTCCATTTTTTCTTGTCCCCTAAGGTGAAAATACACATTGTTGAGTGTCACACCTATACGCTTTGTCAAAATGACACAAAAATTGACACACACATGTATCTCAATAAGATCTACGAAAAAGTCAATGCGCGCGTATCTGTCAAATGTACGGTTAAAGGGTTATTCCGCATTTTTTGCTGATCCGCACACATTGGAATGTGGCTAACTCCTCCGAAGGCTTTCGTTCCACCGGCACCACATTTGCTCAGGCCAATCTACACCCCGTGGCCATTAAAAGTTATCAAAATCATGACGCTGCACCCCAAGGTTTAGGTTCTAGGGGGCGCCAAAGATAACACTAAAATCCACATATTTAAAAGTCTTATAACTTTTTATTTTTGTCCTCACTGGCCTCCAAGTTTTCTAGGATGATGCAATGTCCAGCCATCAACACATTTGTGAAGGAATTTTTACTCCCCAAAAGAGCGCCCCCCCATGGCAGGAGAAAAAAGTCCATTTTTTCTTGTCCCCTAAGGTAAAAATACACATTGTTGAGTGTCACGCCTATACGCTTTGTCAAAATGACACAAAAATTGACAAACACATGTAACTCAATAAGATCTACGAAAAAGTCAATGCGCGCGTATCTGTCAAATGTACGGTTAAAGGGTTATTCCGCATTTTTTGCCAATCCGCACACATTGGAATGTGGCTAACTCCTCCTAAGGCTTTCGTTCCACCGGCACCACATTTGCTCAGGCCACCCCATGGCCATTAAAAGTTATTCAAATCATGACGCTGCACCCCACGGTTTAGGTTCTAGGGGGGGCCAAAGATAACCCTAAAATCCACATATTTAAAAGTCTTATAACTTTTTATTTTTGTCCTCACTGGCCTCCAAGTTTTCTAGGATGATGCAATGTCCAGCCATCAACACATTTGTGAAGGAATTTTTACTCCCCAAAAGAGCGCCCCCCCCCCATGGCAGGAGAAAAAAGTCCATTTTTTCTTGTCCCCTAAGGTGAAAATACATATTGTTGAGATTCACGCCTATACGCTTTGTCATATTGACACAAAATTTGACAATCACATATACAGGGGGCAGGGGCTCAAGTTTTTTCCAGTTGTTTATACAATATGGAAATTAATGTGAAATTAAAACACAAAGTATTAATAGAAAGGTAATGACTGTCCTGTGTAGGTGACAGTGATATCCAATAGGCTAGGCACTCACGAGGCTGGCTGTGGCAAGTGAAAGTGAAAGCAACACGCACTGGCAGGAAGAACAGCAAACGCCGATGAAGGAAAAGGGTCTTTGCAGTGATGGGCGTTACCAGAGAGGGCGATGGCCAGAGGACACAAATGGGACGGGAAGGCAGCACGTTGGGGGGGGGGGGGATGCGACACGGCTCGGGCCCGCCAGTGCCCCACCGGGGTCCTAGTTAGGGCCCGAGCGTAGCTGCTAAGCAGCTGCGAGAGCCCTATTATTCCTGATGGATTCTTCTTTCTTCTTCTTCTTCTTATTATTTTTCTGCCCCTTTGAACTGGAAAATGGCCCACTTCCCACTGGTGAAAAGTCATGAAATTTGGCAGGACGACCGGGCCTGGTGAAAAATTCGATATTCTGAAGTCGCCCAAAAAATCAAATGCAAAATGGCTCCATAGCGCCCCCTAAGGTGAAAAATTCACATGATTGAGTGTCACGCCTGTACGCTTTGTCGAAATGACACAAAATTTGACACACACGTGTATCTCAATAAGATCTAAAAAAAAGTCAGTGCGGGCGTATCTGTCAAATGTACGGTTAAAGGGCTATTTTGCATTTTTTGCCGATCCGCACACATTGGAATTTCGCTAACTCCTCCGAAGGCTTTCGTTCCACCGGCACCAAATTTGCTCAGGCCAATCTACACCCCATGGCCATTAAAAGTTGTACAAATCATGACGCTGCATCCCACGGTTTACGTTCTAGGGGGCGCCAAAGATAACCCAGAAATCCACATTCTTAAAAGTCGTATAACTTTTTATTTTTGTCCTCACTGGCCTCCAAGTTTTCTAGGATGATGCAATGTCCAGCCATCAACACATTTGTGAAGGAATTTTTACTCCCCAAAAGAGCGCCCCCATGGCAGGAGAAAAAAGTCCATTTTTTCTTGTCTCCTAAGGCGAAAATTCACACTATTGACTGTCACGCCTTTACGCTTTGTCATATTGACACAAAAATTGACACACACATGTATCTCAATAAGATCTACAAAAAAGTCAGTGCGGGCGTATCTGTCAAATGTACGGTGAAAGGGCTATTTCGCATTTTTTGCCGATCCGCACACATTGGAATTTCGCTAACTCCTCCGAAGGCTTTCGTTCCAAAGGCACCACATTTGCTGAGGCCAATCTACACCCCATGGCCATTAAAAGTTGTACAAATCATGACGCTGCACCCCACGGCTTACGTTCTAGGGGGCGCCAAAGATAACCCAAAAATCCACAGTCTTAAAAGTCTTATAACTTTTTATTTTTGTCCTCACTGGCCTCCAAGTTCTCTAGGATGATGCAATGTCCAGCCATCAACACATTTGTGAAGGAATTTTTACTCGCCAAAAGAGCGCCCCCCATGGCAGGAGAAAAAAGTCCATTTTTTCTTGTCTCCTAAGGCGAAAATACACATTGTTGACTGTCACGCCTTTACGCTTTGTCAAAATGACACAAAATTTGACACACACATGTATCTCAATAAGATCTACAAAAAAGTCAGTGCGGGCGTATCTGTCAAATGTACGGTTAAAGGGTTATTTCGCATTTTTTGCCGATCCGCACACATTGGAATTTCGCTAACTCCTCCTAAATCTTTTGTCCCATCGGCTTCAAATTTGCTCAGGTCAATCTACACCCCATGGCCATTCAAAGTTGTACAAATCATGACGCTGCACCCCACAGTTTACGTTCTAGGGGGCGCCAAAGAGGACCCAAATATCCACATTTTTAAAAGTCTTATAACTTTTTATTTTTGTCCTCACTGGCCTCCAAGTTTTCTAGGATGATGCAATGTCCAGCCATCAACACATTTGTGAAGGAATTTTTTCTCCCCAAAAGAGCGCCCCCCATGGCAGGAGAAAAAGTCAAGTTTTTCCTGCCCATCGCTCAATGGCTCAAACGCATCGCTCTCTCTGCAAAACCGAAAGGAGGAGCAACTTGCCATTTGGATATATACTAGCTGTGTTTGTGCCCTCACTCATGGTCCAGACTTTTTTCAAATAGGACATGTAGTTTGTCTGCAGCGAGCGTTTTGGTAGAAACTGCGCCTCCCATTCATTATAATGGGAAATGACCACAGACAAGTGCGCACACCATCTTTGGACCTTGAGTGTGACGCGATCGGGAGGGGGAGGAGGTCGCGCTGGGGGCGGCGCGACGCGGCTCGGGCCCGACAGTGCCCCACCGGGGCCCTAGTTAGGGCCCGAGCGTAGCTGCTAAGCAGCTGCGAGAGCCCTCTTGTTCCTGTAGTTTCCTTCTTTTGTTATTATTATTATTATTATTTTTCCTCCCCTTTGAACTGGAAAATGGCCCACTTCCCACTGGCGAAAACTCATGAAATTTGGCAGGACGACCGGGCCTGGTGAAAAATTTGATATTCCGAAGTCGCCCAAACAAGAAAATGCAAAATGGCTCCATAGCGCCCCCTAAGGTGAAAATTCACACTATTCACTGTCACGCCGGTACGCTTTGTCAAAATGACACAAAAATTGACACACACATGTATCTCAATAAGATCTACAAAAAAGTCAGTGCGGGCGTATCTGTCAAATGTACGGTTAAAGGGTTATTTCGCATTTTTTGCCGATCCGCACACATTGGAATTTCGCTAACTCCTCCGAAGGCTTTCGTTCCACCGGCACCACATTTGCTCAGGCAAATCTACACCCCATGGCCATTAAAAGTTATTCAAATCATGACGCTGCACCCCACGGTTTAGGTTCTAGGGGGCGCCAAAGATAACCCTAAGATCCACATATTTAAAAGTCTTATAACTTTTTATTTTTGCCCTCACTGGCCTCCAAGTTTTCTAGGATGATGCAATGTCCAGCCATCAACACATTTGTGAAGGAATTTTTACTCCCCAAAAGAGCGCCCCCCATGGCAGGAGAAAAAAGTCAATTTTTTCTTGTCCCCTAAGGTGAAAATACACATTGTTGAGTGTAACACCTGTACGCTTTGGCAAAATGACACAAAAATTGATACACACATGTATCTCAATAAGATCTACGAAAAAGTCAATGCGCGCGTATCTGTCAAATGTACGGTTAAAGGGTTATTCCGCATTTTTTGCCGATCCGCACACATTGGAATTTCGCTAACTCCTCCGAAGGCTTTCGTTCCACCGGCACCACATTTGCTCAGGCCAATCTACACCCCATGGCCATTAAAAGTTATTCAAATCATGACGCTGCACCCCACGGTTTAGGTTCTAGGGGGAGCCAAAGATAACCATAAAATCCACATATTTAAAAGTCTTATAACTTTTTATTTTTGTCCCCACTGGCCTCCAAGTTTTCTAGGATGATGCAATGTCCAGCCATCAACACATTTGTGAAGGAATTTTTACTCGGCAAAAGAGCGCCCCCCCATGGCAGGAGAAAAAAGTCCATTTTTTCTTGTCCACTAAGGTGAAAATACACATTGTTGAGTGCTACGCCTGTATGTTTTGTCGTATTGACACAAAATTTTACATACACGTGTATTTACATAAGATCTTCGAAAAAGTCAATGGCCACGTATCTGTAAAATGTACGGTTAAAGGGTTATTTCGCATTTTTTGCAGATTCGCACACATTGGAATTTCGCTAATTCCTCCAAAGGCTTTCGTTCCACCGGCACCACATTTGCTCAGGCCAATCTACACCCCATGGCCATTAAAAGTTATTCAAATCATGACGCTGCACCCCACGGTTTAGGTTCTAGGGGGCGCCAAATATAACCCTAAAATCCACATATTTAAAAGTCTTATAACTTTTTATTTTTGTCCCCACTGGCCTCCAAGTTTTCTAGGATGATGCAATGTCCAGCCATCAACACATTTGTGAAGGAATTTTTACTCGGCAAAAGAGCGCCCCCCATGGCAGGAGAAAAAAGTCAATTTTTTCTTGTCCACTAAGGTGAAAATACACATTGTTGAGTGCTACGCCTGTATGTTTTGTCGTATTGACACAAAATTTTACATACACGTGTATTTACATAAGATCTTCGAAAAAGTCAATGGCCACGTATCTGTAAAATGTACGGTTAAAGGGTTATTTCGCATTTTTTGCAGATTCGCACACATTGGAATTTCGCTAATTCCTCCGAAGGCTTTCGTTCCACCGGCACCACATTTGCTCAGGCCAATCTACACCCCATGGCCATTAAAAGTTATTCAAATCATGACGCTGCACCCCACGGTTTAGGTTCTAGGGGGCGCCAAATATAACCCTAAAATCCACATATTTAAAAGTCTTATAACTTTTTATTTTTGTCCTCACTGGCCTCCATGTTTTCTAGGATGATGCAATGTCCAGCCAGCAACACATTTGTGAAGGAGTTTTTTCTCTTTAAAAGAGCGCCCCCCCATGGCAGGAGAATAAAGTCAAGTTTTTCCTGTTCATCATTCAATGGCTCAAACGCACTGCTCTCTCGGCAAAAGCGAAAGGAGGAGCAACTTGCCATTTGGATATATCTTAGCTGTGTTTGTGCCCTCACTCATGGTCCAGACTTTTTTCAAATAGGACATGGAGTTTTTCTGCAGCGAGCGTTTTGGTAGAAACTGCGCCTCCCGTTCATTATAATGGTAAATGACCACAAACAAGTGCGCACACCATCTTTGGACCTTGAGTGTGACGCGATCGGGTGGGGGAGGCGGTCGCGCTGGGGGCGGCGTGACACGGCTCGGGCCCGCCAGTGCCCCAACGGGGCCCTAGTTTCTTCTTTTTCCTCCCCTTTGAACTGGAAAATGGCCCACTTCCCACTGGCGAAAACTCATGAAATTTGGCAGGACGACCGGGCCTGGTGAAAAATTCGATATTCTGAAGTCGCCCAAACAATAAAATGCAAAATGGCTCCATAGCGCCCCCTAAGGTGAAAATTCACACTATTGACTGTCACGCCTGTACGCTTTGTCAAAATGACACAAAAATTGACACACACATGTATCTCAATAAGATCTACAAAAAAGTCAGTGCGGGCGTATCTGTCAAATGTACGGTTAAAGGGTTATTGCGCATTTTTTGCCGATCCGCACACATTGGAATTTCGCTAACTCCTCCGAAGGCTTTCGTTCCACCGGCACCACATTTGCTCAGGCCAATCTACACCCCATGGCCATTAAAAGTTATTCAAATCATGACGCTGCACCCCACGGTTTAGGTTCTAGGGGGCGCCAAAGATAACCCTAAAATCCACATATTTAAAAGTCTTATAACTTTTTATTTTTGCCCTCACTGGCCTCCAAGTTTTCTAGGATAATGCAATGTCCAGCCATCAACACATTTGTGAAGGAATTTTTACTCCCCAAAAGAGCGCCCCCCCATGGCAGGAGAAAAAAGTCAATTTTTTCTTGTCTCCTAAGGTGAAAATACACATTGTTTAGTGTCACGCCTGTACGCTTTGGCAAAATGACACAAAAATTGACACACACATGTATCTCAATAAGATCTACGAAAAAGTCAATGCGCGCGTATCTGTCAAATGTACGGTTAAAGGGCTATTTCGCATTTTTTGCCGATCCGCACACATTGGAATGTGGCTAACTCCTCCTAAGGCTTTCGTTCCACTAGCACCACATTTGCTCAGGCCAATCTACACCCCATAGCCATTAAAAGTTATTCAAATCATGACTCTGCACCCCATGGTTTAGGTTCTAGGGGGCGCCAAAGATAACCCTAAAATCCACATATTTATAAAGTCTTATAACTTTTTATTTTTGTCCTCACTGGCCTCCAAGTTTTCTAGGATGATGCAATGTCCAGCCATCAACACATTTGTGAAGGAATTTTTACTCCCCAAAAGAGCGCCCCCCCCCATGGCAGGAGAAAAAAGTCCATTTTTTCTTGTCCCATAAGGTGAAAATACACATTGTTGACTGTCATACCTGTACGCTTTGTCATATTGACACAAAATTTGACACACACATGTATCTCAATAAGATCTACGAAAAAGTCAACGCGCGCGTATCTGTAAAATGTACGGTTAAAGGGTTATTCCGCATTTTTTGCCGATTAGCACACATTGGAATGTGGCTAACTCCTCCTAAGGCTTTCGTCCCACTGACACCAAATTTGCTCAGGCCAATCTACACCCCATGGCCATTCAAAGTTGTAAAAATCATGACGCTGCACCCCACGGTTTACGTTCTAGGGGGCGCCAAAGATGACCCATTACAGCCCTCCACATTATGATTACCTAATTTTGATTTACTGACACCACGAGAAACTTGACTAAGCCTTGCTACTACACTCCGACACTTGATTCTTGAGACATGACATGGACTTGCCCCTCAGAGACTTGAGACTTGACTCACTGTACAGCATTGTAGAGGATTGTACATTATAAAATAGATCAGCGTTGTTTAAAAAACAGTCCAATGCTAGCAGTTTCAAAGTTTAGATAAGAAAATATTACTCTCAAAGCTGTGCTTGTTTTTTCCCCCCATCTTTTCTTGAAATATTAGTTAAGAGATACAATGGTATTAGCCACAATGCCAGGGTTGAAAGTCAGCATGAAGAACAGAATGCAGATTCTACAGAATTACATATTAGGTATGTTCTTTGGATTGTGGGAGTAGGCGGAGACCCCATACATGTACGAGAAGAAAGACTTTGTGGAGAAAGAACCCTGCCCCCACCCACTAATGAGGGATTCAAACTGTCTTGCTGTTAGGGGCCAGCTTTAACCATTGCTCGACCAGAAAAACTGAATCAGGATCATAGGCTGTGTATAGAATGGACAACATCTGCCTCCTCACTGGGTGAAGCCACTCTGAGAACAGCACACCCTGGTGATGGGCTGCTGTATAGGTCATAAATCCTGCTTCCACCAGCCATCCTTATGGAGCTGTGGACAGACTTAAAATAAATTTATTACACAGAACATAAATTTTTCTCCCCCCTGCTTGCAACGTTTACATGTAGTTACTGTAAGACTGTTTTGTGCTCGTCCTTTTTTTTTCTGTGCAGCTCCATTTTAAAAAGTTATTAAGGGGTTCATGTTTTCTATGATTGACACTTGATACAGCCTATGGGCATGCGAAGATTGTGTAGCTCACCCGGGGGATACGTCATCACAGGGACTCTCTGCGACTCTCCTGCGGAATGCACACAATACTATTGCGCAAGTGGTAAAGTGCATACAACGTTACTGCGCAATGTTGGTTTCAGGAAATGGAGAAAAATCGCGGATATACCGAGAGCTTTTCGGCTTCAAATCCGTACACTGGTGGAAGGCGGAACCAAGTTGTCCAAAGTATATACAGTCTATGGTCGGGATTGATGCTCCAAAATAATGAAATAAGCCAATCATATCTAACTGACTGTATTCTTTGAAATGTTTATAGAGGTCATCAAAATATTTCATTTAGTGTAATTTGTTTGCAATTAATTAATTGTAATTGTAATTAATTGTTTGCAATACTTTTAAACAGGGATAATGCTTAATGTATCTTAATGTATAAGATATATAAGGAAGAAGGGATATATAGTGGTTTACTTTGGTCAACTGTAGAAACAAAAACGTATGATACTTGTGGACATACAGTATATATAATAGATCCCGGGAAGCTTCTACTACATATTCTTTGTTACCAGGATGATGAGTCTCCTACTGTCTTGTACAGAATTGCTTTGGGCAACACCAACTATTTGCTGAGATGATCTGAGCCAGATGTACAGTAAATAGATACAGATTAGATGAGAGTAGACACAACTTTATTTATCCATTTGGGAAGGTTCCTATAAGGAAATTAAAATAGGAAATGATGATGATTTAAGTTTTCAGCAAATGATGCACATACTGGTATAAAATCATAGACTTTTGCACAGTGAAGTGAAATATTGCCACAGACCTATAAGCATCTGACAGCTGTCCGGCTTGTCAAAAGAGTAAGAGACATTGAAATTTGACAGGCAGAAGGGGATGAGAGGCCTGTATCCTTTGTCTTTCGTCCTCAGCCTGTTGTAAACTGTTGGAGCTGCTGTCTGTGATGTTTAAATGTCACCTGCATTTCCTCTTTAACATGATAAAACAACCATTATTACACAACATTACCATCATTACTGATGCAGACAACTTGATGGCCAGCCAACTCCAAGATTGAAGTTGCAGCCACTAAAGCTTCTGATGTGTTTTTGAGGCTAACAAATCATTTTAGACATAACATGTTGTTTAAATTGTGTTCTCGTGCAGCTTTGAGTGCATTACGTGTGTCTACACATCCACCACCACCATGCTCACTAATTTGGATATCAGCAAAACATAACAGCCATTCCTGAATTCTGTCATCATGGGTAAGTCATATCAATTCTCTAGAAGGCTACCCATGATGATATGTCTGACCCTCAACGCTTTGTTTAGACTAGTCTTAACTCTCGCAAAGATTAAATGTTCAGACAGACAGATAGTTTTGGCTCCTGCAAGACAGCCTTGCTTACAACCTCAGGGTCATGAGGCTGCATAAGCAGGCCAACCTAGATAATTTGTAACTCCTTATTAAAAGATAATTACTCTTTATTTCTTAACCTAAATGTACTGTATGAAGAGATTCTACTACACCAACTGGATTTTTTTTCTCTTGCTATTAACATGGGGGTTTATCTGTGATTAACCTCAAGCTTTCATTGCTTGTGGGTCTTTTATTTTTGCTGGATTATGAAATGATCCTTTTGTAATTGACAACAGTATCATGGTTCAGTGACTGTCCACAGTACAGAGATAAGAATTGACCTGCCCTCATGCTGCTGTGCTTAGTGCATCCCTCCTGTGTTAGTGCAGGTAAACTGTACCTCAGTACTCAGCATTTACTTTTTCCCCCCAACTTTATACAATCTCATAAAAAATGTATTCAAGACCTTCTGCAATGCTGGATGCTATGATGCCCAGGCAACCAAATTCACCCACCAGTATTAAGTGCCTGAGGCATGAGGCTGGTACATTATTGCTTCACCCACCCCCCCCACCCCCCCCACCCCCCCAGAGACAGTGGGGAGTGTGGGGGGCAAGCTGCAACAACCTAATTTTCCAAGCACACGGCTTAAGCCTTCAAGAGAGCACAACACACACACACATACACACACACACACAGAAATTTTACATGAAATCCAACGTGCAGTAGAAGCTGGAAGGGCCTTAAACAAGTTAACAGAGCAAAATGGAAAGCTTTAAAGGGATAGGTTGGGCCAGAGTCACTGCCTAGTTTTGGGTAAGGGCAGTTGACTTCAGCGACATACACTAGCAGCATCACAAAACCTGTTCTTGAAAGAGCCTTAGGTGTAAGTGAAGGAGGCAACAGAGAAATTAGGTTTTGCAATATTTTTGAAAAATATTTAATCACAAAAAAAAAAAATAGGTTTTGCAAAATGTTATTAAATAAAATTAGCAGGTACTTTACAAAATGATGAAAAACAAAAACAAGAATAACATTGCAGGTGTGTAGTAAGGATATTTGAGTAGAGTCCAGAAACTGCAAGGATACAGATTCTTTTTAAAACTGGAAAAAAAAAAATCTGTCCAGAATCAGCTGTGCAAATTGTTCCAAACCCTTGCTGGGGAAACACCAATAATCCTAATATCCAAATATTTATAAGTGCCAGCAGCGACACCAACAAACAGTCTTGCCCTACCACCATAATACCAAACTGCCCTACCACACTGTCCAGCTTGCCATCTGGTTAAGTTGAAGTTCAATGAAGTCAAGGTGACAGTCGAGTAGACTGTTGAATTGACATTTGAGGTGATAGAGTCCAATACAAAATCCTGACCTAAAAGGCCAAAGCACAAATGAATATCATTTAAACCAAAAATAACTACTATTTCTAGAGTGTAAGCGATTTGAATTTATAATAAATGTCTGGAGAGTAATAATCTTCAATTATGACATTTATGCACTCGTTGAAAGGGGCACCACCCACCCTGAATGATGGGAAAATAAAGAAAAACAAAAGTTTAATTCAGAAATCAAACATTAAGTTAATCTTAAATTAATCAATCTCATATTTCAAGCCGGAATTCTCATTTCAGAGACTCCACTTCTGGAAGAACACTACGGACAGGAAAAATAATGATCTGTTTATTACAGGATAAATGATGGTACAACATCCATGCAATAAATAAGTGAGGCTGGTCCTTGGAGAAGATGGAGCAGGTTCAGAAGGTCCTGAAGGCCTGAATGCAAAACCAATGCCTTATGGATCCTTTTGAATGCTCCTTTGGCTCACTGCAACACTCTGGCTCAGAGGATGACTTTGGGCCTGCTTGGTGGCGTTCAGAGGTGACTTGTCAATCACGCAGATAACCAAGAAAAAGGGGCTCGATGACCAGTTGAAACTATTTCAAAAATGGCTTTGCGAAATTAAAGAAAGATCAATTAAAGGCTAAATCATGAATTGCTAAAAAAAAGACTCTGAGTGTGTGTGTGTGTGTGTGTGTGTGTGTGTGTGTGTGTGTGTGTGTGTGTGTGTGAGGAGAAAGAGGAGGGGTCGTGGGGTCTCTATCTGCAGAGGAGACATCTTGGATGTCTGATTATTTGATCTAACTTGTACTTTTGGCTGGTAAGAGAGTCAGATCTGATACTCACTCACTATGATTAATATCATTGAATGCTTGGTTTCATGACAAATGATTTGATACTAAACACATGAATGAAATGTAGAATCACATCAAACATTCTCATTATGTTTTAAGTATCATGTTGATCATGCTAAATTACTCAAAATAAAACACATGCTAACACAGAAACTGTGAACAAAAAAAGAGTAAACACATGTGAATGAACTTCACCATGATTAACAATGGAGAGCGGTGAACATCAGCCAGGCGTTTGTTGTGCTCGGCCGCATAAGTGAGTGCGGCCCTGGCGGATCTCCACACCTCCCGTAGACGCTCAATGTGCTCCCTCACCGACGGGACGGCCACAGGGTGCTCCTGTTTGGGAAACGGGGGGGCTGGTACCCAAAACAGCACATGAAGGGAGACATACCTGTGGCCAAGGAGGTAAGGGAGTTATTGGCGTACTGTATCCACAGGAGTTGTGTACTCCAGGATGCTGGATGATGGGCCACAACACACCACAAAGCTCGAGGTTTTGATTGGCCCGCTCCATCTGACCGTTGGTCTGCGGGTGATAACCTGAGGAGAGGCTAGCTGCCACGCCCAACGCCTGGCAGAAAGCTTTCCAAACCTGGGAGGAGAACTGGGGACCACAATCTTATACAATATCAATGGGGATACCATGGAGTTGGAAAACATGTGATAATAGGAGGTTAGCAGTTTCTAGCACTGAGTGGAGCTTGAGTAAATAGAATAGAATAGAATAGTGCAAAAAAAAGTGCAAAAATGCAGTTATATGAATAAAGATCATATATTAAGAACTTACTGTAAATAAATGTTCTAATTAAGAAAAAAATTAGTAAAGGAAAAAGGGAGAAGAAAATAAAACTATATACAATATACACAATTTAAGTACCAGAAAAAAATGGTGGTGTGAGTCCAGTTTTATTGCAGTTCGTTGTAAAGTCTTATTGCAGAAAGGAGGAATGACCTGCGGTAGCGCTCCGTCTTTCAAGGTGGGAGTCTAAGTCTGCTCCCAGAGTTGTAGCTGAAGTCCCAGGTGTACAGGGTGAAGGGGGAGGGGGAGAGCACTGTCCCTTGTGAAGCCCCCGTGCTGCAGACCACCATGCCCGACACACAGTTAAATAAAGCCTTCAATCAATCAATCAATCAATCAATCAAATCAAATCAGTTCTGAAGCCTCATAAACTGTGGTCTGTTGGTGAGGTAGCCCAGGTCCATGCAGCTAGGTGACAGTCCACTCCCACCCTCTCGAGCTTCCCCCTGAGTAGTGAAGGCTGGATGGTGTTGAAATCACTGGAAAAGGCAAAAAACATGACCCTCACAGTGCTGCCAGTGTTCTCCAAGTGAGCCATGGACCTCTGCAGCAGGTAAATGACTGCATCGTCCACCCCAATGTTCGGCTGGTACGCAAACTGCAGAAGATCCAGATGAGAGCTCACCAGAAGGCGGAGGTTCCTCAGCACGATCCTCTCCAGAGTCTTCATCAGGTGAGAAGTGAGGGCCACAGGTCTGAAGTGGTTGGGCTCCCTGGGGTGTGCTGTCTTGGGGACAGGAATCACGCAGGAAGTCTTCCACAGTGCTGGGACCCTCTCCAGACTCAGGCTGAAGCTGAAGATGTGCAGTAGCACCTCACAGAGCTGGTCTGCACAGTCCTTCAGGAGTCTGGAGCTGATGCCGTCAGGACCTGTTGCCTTCCTTGGCTTCATCTTCCTCAGCTCACTTCTCACCTGGTCAGCTGTTTTGGAGAGGCTGGATGTGGTGCTGGAGGGGGTGGTGGAGGATAAGTGGAGGTGGGGTGATGCCTGGAGTTGAGGCGTCGAGCAGAACGGAGGTACTGAAGGTTCTTATGGTCAGTCCAGATGAGGATGGGTGTTGTGCTCCTTCCAGCCAGTGTCTCCATTCTTGAAGTGCCCACACAACAGCCAGCAACTCACGGTTTCCTACATCATAATTTTGTTCCGTGGACGAGAGTTTCTGGGAGAAGTAGGCACAAGGATGGAGCTTCTGGGTCTCGGGATCCCTCTGCGAGAGGACGGCCCCCACTCCGGAGTCCGAGGCGTCGACCTCTACCACGAACTGGAGAAAGGGATCTGGGTGTTAGAGCACCGGGGCGGAGATGAAGAGGGACTTGAGCCGAATGAAGGTGGTGTCTGCTTCAGGGGTCCTGGAGAACGGGACTTTGAGGGAGGTGAGACGGGTGAGAGGCACAGCCATCTTGCTGTAGTTCCACATGAATCTTCTGGGCGATGATGTATCCCAAGAAGCTGACGGAGGAGGCATGGAACTCGCACTTCTCGGGTTGGACGAAGAGTCTGTTATCCAGGAGGTGCTGGAGGACAAGTCGGACGTGTTGTTGATGTTCCTCATTGTTGCGGGAGAAGATCAGTATATCATCCAGACATACAAAGGCAAATTTATTGATCATGTCACGGAGGACGTCATTGATGAGAGCCTGGAATACAGCAGGAGCATTGGTGAGACCAAAGGGCATGACGAGGTATTCAAAATGGCCCATGGGTGTATTGAAGGCCGTCTTCCACTCGTCGCCCTCTCTGATGCGAACCAGGTGATAGGCGTTACGGAGGTCCAGTTTGGAGAAGACGGTGTCGTTGCAGAGAAGTTCAAAGGAGGGATCGATGAGTGGCAGGGGGATATTTGTTCTTCACAGTGATATCGTTGAGTCCGCGGAAGTCGATGCAGGGACGGAGAGAGGACTCTTTCTTTTTAACAAAGAATAAGCCAGCAGCAAGTGGAGAGGATGAGGGCCGGATGAGCCCAGAAGCCAGAGAATCCTGGATGTACTCCTCCATGGCTTCTTGTTCAGGCCGAGAGAGATTGTACTGTCTGCTGCTGGGGAGAAGGGTGCCAGGAAGCAAGTCTATGGCTCAGTCATAGGGGCAATGAGGAGGAAGGATGAGAGACTGCTCCTTATTGAAAACCATGGCCAGATCATGGTAAACAGGGGGAACAGAGGCGAGAGATGGCGGTGGCGATGTAGGGATTGGCAGAGCGGAGGCAATGAGAGTGGCAGTGAGGACTCCAGGCGGAAATCGAAGCTGTGGACCAGTTGATTTGGGGATTGTGGATCTGCAGCCACAGGAGTCCAAGCACTATGGGTGAGTGAGGAGAGGGAAGCAGGAACAATTGGATGTCCTCACGATGGTTGCCAGAAAAGATGAGGATGAGAGGAGTAGTGCAGTGGGTTATGGTGGCTATAACCCTGCCATCGAGAGCAGTGAACTTACGGGAGGCAGAGAGTGCCTCCAGGGGGAGCTGTAGCCGCGCCGCCAGCCCAGCGTGAATGAAGTTGTCATCTGCCCCGGAGTCAACAAGGGTTTGGAGAGACGTGGATCCTTTTCCCACAGGAGACAGGCAGGTACGGTGATACATCTGGGAGAGCTGGAGATAGAGGAGGTGTGGCTGATTTGCATGGGTTCTCCAGCAGAGGGCGTCGGAGCGAGCAGAGCTGAGGGCTGCAGAGGAGACCCGCTGAAAGCAGAGGAGGATGTGGAATCTGAACTAAGGGGAGGAGTGTTTATTTTCCTTTCTCTACGTCTCTCCCTGAGGCGATTATCCAAACGTATGGCTAGCAAAATCAACTCCTCAAGTGAGGATGGCTCGTCACGAGCAGCTAATTCGTCCTTTAAATGTTCGGACAGACAATGAGAAAATACACCTTTTAACTCATGTTCCCCCCACCCACTCTCAGCCGCCACTATGCAGAACTCAATAGATAATTCCGCCGCAGACCGAGAGCCCTGGGTGAGGGAAAACAACCGCTTGGTACATTCCAGTCCGTCAACAGGATAATCAAAAACTTTGCGAAGTTCCTCAGAGAATCTGGCATACGAGGATGCTATAGGAGAATCTTCTTTCCAAACGGCAGTAGCACACTTTGCGGCTTTGCTTCTTAACAAATTCACCGTGTAAGCTATTTTAAATTTATCAGAGAGGTAACTGACAGGCTGTTGATCAAAGACGATAAAACAGCAGAGCAGAAAACCTCTGCAGCCCCCAATCTCCCCAGCATATGGCTCAGGAGGAGGGACATAAGGCTCTTTGAAGACAGGAGAGGGTGGAGAGGGAGCCGTACTCACAGAGGGGAAAGACCTAGATTGCTGCGGGAAGAGCTGGGAGAGGAGTTGATCCGCCAGTTGTGCTACTTGAACGGTGAGGCCTTGAAAGGATTGGTTGAGGCCCTGGAGCATGTCCTCATGCTGACCTTGGCGAACTCGGACTTGTGCTTGTGGACGGCTTGTTGGAATCTGTCTGGGTCTGCTGGGTCCATTTTCCTGGCCTGAGTATTCTGTGGCTTGTGGTGTATTTTGTGGACCCAGAAGCAGACTCATAGGCAGATAGCAAGTTGAAGATGTACTTCTAATGTCCAAAACAAAAGGCAAACGGCACGCGGAAAGTCCAGTTGGCTGGCTGACTGTTGTGTGGGCTAGAGACACGCTCAGGAGCTAAGACAATACTCAGGCACTGAGACTGAGGGCTGCTAGCTTCTTAAAGGGCCTTGATGGCAAATGCAGCGCAGGTGTGGAGTCTCACTCAGCCTCAGCGACCAGGGAGAGGGAGTGTGCTCTGAAAACAATCAAGCCAGACCAGGGAAACAAGGAAAACAACAGGAAGTTAAACAAAAATAAGGCAGGAAAAGGAGGCGTCTCACCACGGATAAATACTCAAGCAACCAATAAAAAAGATCAATAATTCAATTATTTACCAGTAATACAAATACACATTCAACAGTAATTAAATGTAGGCATTTTACCATCAATGACCTAAAGGTTCAAGTAAAGTTTCTATGCAAGCAACCATTTCAATAAATTCAAGAGTTAACAGTCAATGGGCTCTATTTCATAATTCGCCGGAGGCCTGGCCCGGCGTAAGTCAGGTCTGCCGCGCCAAAAAGGCGTGCCCAAGCACACTTTAGTATTTTGGTGAGCGGGGCAGCCCAGTGTAAGTATCCCCCCTCCCTAACTCAGCTCCTCCCAGTGGCGTAAGTAGTAGATAGGGAGGAGAAAAGATGTGGAGTGGGTTAAAAACAGCCAAGACCTGTTTTCACTAATCACATCAGCTCCTCTCCTTACCTTTAAATCTGCCACCGGCGAGGCATATTACAATTTTCATGCAGTAGTCGAGAGGTCAAGAGATGACTGAAGACAGCAATGCCACACGATGGCGACAGAAGGCAGCCCCTCAACAAGTGTCGCTGCAAGCGCTGCAGAGGGTGTCCTCCACACTCTCCCAAATAAGCACAGCAGGATTTGGTGCGTGTAAGGTTGTACCCACTGGTAAGACAAACATCCTTTTCCACAAATAAAGACTATCACATAAAGTTGCATATATTTAAACCTCACGTGACAAAGGTGGGTTGTGCTCACGGATCATAGCATAAATTCCAATACTGGCATTAAAATCGGAACCACCTGTGTGTAAAGGACGCATCGTGTGGCTTGGCTCTTTCTTTCATTGATGTTGGCATATAAAATGAACTTAGCTCACGCAACTGAATATTATAATATTCGTATGTAGGCCTGACTCCAGATTGAATATTCACAGAATTTTAAGGATGTGGGAACATCAGATCAACAGGTAATTTTGAATGAAAGTTTCTTTTATTTTTTTGTTCAAATTTTCAAAATAACTCTTCTGATCAGTAAAATAAACCATCTGGTCAGCCTTGCCGCAGCAGCAGCAGGACGGGGAAAGGACACTGAGACATGTCTGGGTCGAGCTGCTGGAGGAAGAAGGCGAAAAAGGGGGAGGCAAATTAAATATCTTGTTAACTTCATCATGTGTGACTGTTTACTGGATATCTAATTTAATGAGCATGCTAAAAGCGCTCATCAGATAAGATATAAATCAGAATATATCGATATAGATCTAAATGTATGTGCTGATTCAGATAGTTGCACTGAATAGTGTTTGTAATGAATTTTTTATTGCGCTGAAATATGCCTGACAATGTGTGGAAACCTACCAGTGAGGCATCGGTGATGTGCGCGTACTACCCTGTCGGTCTACTATAATACCACTAGACCAGCTGCGCTCCGCCTGCGCTGAAAGCTGACCAGGTTTGAATCGGCGAGCTTTCAGCGCACCTTCCATGCCGCCGGCGAGCACAAAAATGTCAGTGCACTAGCTAATTCTGTCGACACTTCCCCCTACCACGCATCCACCCCCAGCTTGGTGGACCTCGGTGCGCCTCAGTCTTCGAAAATACCAAACTGACTGTGCACCAGGCTCCGCCAGACAAAAATAGAGCCCAATAAGTAAATAAGCACATTTTAAATAATTTTATTGATCAAAATCATCAAATAGCTATTAAAAATTGATAACTTAAAGTGTTGCACAACATCAGTTTAAATCACAATAAATCACTTAACTACATTCAATACAACTAAGTGCAGTGGTAACCAAACCTCACTGCAGTTTAGCATACGACCAAAAAAAGTGCTAAACTGCTCAAAATAATATCTCACATTTCCATATGACGAAATACATTTATCTTTTGTTTTGAAACTTTGCATACATGTAGTATGGACACTAAACTTTGAATAGAATAGAATAGAATAGAATATTCCTTTATTGATCCCCCATGGGGGAAATTTTTTTGTCACAGCAGCATCACAGACAAGACAGAAAGTGCAAAATGCAGTTATAACAATAAGGGTCCTAATATTAAGAACTTAATAAATGTAATAATTAAGAAAAAAAAAAAAGAAAATTGAAAAGAGAAAAGGGAGAAGAAAAAATAAAGCTTTCTGCAATATACACAATTTAAATGCCATAAAAAAAGTGGTGGTGTAAATCCAGTTTTGTTACTGTTCATTGTAAAGTCTTATTGCAGAGGGGAGGAATGATCTGCGGTAGCGCTCCGTCCTGCAGGGTGGGAGTCTCAGTCTGCTGCTGAAGGAGCTGCCTAAAGCCCCCACAGTCTGGTGCAGTGGGTGAGAGGGATTGTCCATGATGGATATAAGCTTTGTTAACATCCTCCTCTCACCCACCTCCTCCAGGGAGTCCAAAGAGCAGTCCAGGACAGAACCGGCCCTCCTGACCAGTCTATTCAGTCTCTTCCTGTCCCTCTCGGTGCTCCCTGCCCCCCAGCAGACCACTGCATAGAAAAGTGCAGATGCTACCACAGAGTCATAGAAAGTCCTGAGCAGAGTCCTGCACACTCCAAAGGACCTCAGTCTCCTCAGCAGGTGGAGACGACTTTGGCCCTTCTTGTACAGAACGTCTGTGTTTGTTGACCAGTCCAGTTTGTTGTTGAGGTGGACACCCAGGAATCTGTAGGACTCCACCATCTCGATGTCCAGACCCTGTATGTTCACTGGAACTGTTTGAGGTGTCCCCCTCCTGCGGAAATCCACAACCATCTCCTTTGTCTTACTGGCGTTGAGCTGGAGGTGGTTTGTGCCACACCAGTTGACAAAGTCAGTGATGACAGTCCTGTATTCCCGCTCGTCCCCTGACGATACACATCCGACGATGGCTGTGTCATCAGAGAACTTCTGGAGGTGACAGCTCCCAGAGTTGTAGCTGAAGTCTGAGGTGTACAGGGTGAAGAGGAAGGGGGAGAGCACTGTCCCCTGTGGAGCCCCCGTGCTGCAGACCACCATGTCCGATACACAGTTCTGAAGCCTCACAAACTGTGGTCTGTCGGTGAGGTAGTCCACGGTCCATGCGGCTAGGTGACAGTCCACTCCCGCCCGCTCGAGCTTCCCCCTGAGCAGTGAAGGCTGGATGGTGTTGAACGCACTGGAGAAGTCAAAAAACATGACCCTCACAGTGCTGCCAGTGTTCTCCAGGTGAGCCATGGACCTCTGCAGCAGGTAGATGACTGCGTCATCCACCCCGATGTTCGGCTGGTACGCAAACTGCAGAGGATCCAGATGAGAGCTCACCAGGGGGCGGAGGTTCCTCAGCACGATCCTCTCCAGAGTCTTCATCAGGTGAGAAGTGAGGGCCACAGGTCTGAAGTGGTTGGGCTCCCTAGGGTGCGCTGTCTTGGGGACAGGAATCACGCAGGAAGTCTTCCACAGTGTTGGGACCCTCTCCAGACTCAGGCTCAAGCTGAAGATGTGCAGTAGCACCTCACAGAGCTGGTCTGCACAGTCTTTCAGGAGTCTGGGGCTGATGCCGTCAGGACCCGTGGCTTTCCTTGGCTTCATCTTCCTCAGCTCACTTCTCACCTGGTCAGCTGTTATGGAGAGGCTGGGGGTGGTGCTGGAGGGGGTGGTGGAGGATGAGTGGAGGGGGTTGATGGTGTCGGTGCCATGGGACTGAGGTGGTGTGAATAAGAATAAGAAGAAGGAGGAGCAGCAGACGGGTCGTTGGTTAGATGAGTCGGGGGAGGAGTGGGAGTAGAGTCAAATCTATTGAAGAACAGATTCAGCTCGTTGGCCCACTCCCTGTCTCCTGCTTCAGATCCCCTCTCATGGCCCCTGCTATGACCTGAGATGGATTTTAGGCCTCTCCAGACCTCCCTTGCGTTGTTCTGTTGCAAAAGGTTTTCCATCTTGGTCTTGTAGCTGGCCTTTCCCTCTCTGATCTTCTTCTTCAACTCCTTCTGCACCCTCCTCAGCTCCTCCTTGTCCCCAGATTTAAAGACCCTCCTCTTCTCCTTCAGGAGGACTTTCAGTTCCGGGGTCACCCAGGGTTTGCTGTTGGAGAAACACCGTACTTTCCTGGTGGGTACGGTGTTCTCAACACAGAAGTTAATATAGTCAGTGATGCAGTCAGTCATGGTGTCGATGTCATCACCATGTGGGCCGCACAGTACATCCCAGTCTGTGGTCTCAAAACAGTCCTGCAGCGCCTCAGTGACCTCCTCAGACCACCTCTTAACATACCTGATGGTGGGGGGTTGTTTCTTCACCATAGGTATGTAAATGGGCTGCAGTCTCACCAGGTTGTGATCTGAGCGGCCCAGCGGGGGAAGCGGGGAGGAGGTGTATGCATCCTTGGTGTTTGCATACAGTAAGTCCAGAGTTTTATTGTCTCTTGTTGGGCAGTTTACATACTGGCTGAAGGTAGGGAGAGTGGAGGACAGCGATGCATGATTAAAGTCTCCAGAGATGATGATCAGAGACTGAGGGTGTGATGTCTGTAGCTTGGACACTTCATTATGGAGGAGTTCACAGGCTGCAGCAGCCTCAGCCGAGGGGGGGATGTAAACAGTTAACGCGATGACGTGCGAAAATTCCCTCGGCAGGTAATAAGGCCGCAAACTCACAGCCAGCAGCTCAATGTCCTTAGAGCAGAGCTGCTCTTTAACACTGACGTGCCCAGCATTACACCATCTCTCATTCACATACACCGCTATCCCGCCTCCTTTCTTCTTACCACTCTCCCTCACGCTCCGGTCCGCTCTGACGAGGTGAAATCCGTCCAAAGTTACGAGCGGGTCCGGAGTGAGTTCGTTCAGCCATGACTCCGTGAACATCATGAGGCTACATTCCCTATACTCCCACTGCAGCCGAGTTAGCGCTGTGAGCTCTTCCATCTTGTTGGGGAGAGACCTCACGTTTCCCATGATGATGGACGGGACAGTTGGTTTGTAACGCCTCCGCTTTGCCCGATGCTGAACTCCAGCCCTGCATCCTCTCCTTCTCCTGCGGAGCTTAGCGGGGATGTCCGGTCTCTCCCACGAAGGTGGCCGGGCTTGGCGCAGCGCCAACAGCTGTTCACGGCTGTAAACAATGCGGCCGCTGAAAGGGTCGCCGGTCGCGGACTTAAAAACTCCGAAAAATAAAAGAAAACAAAGTGCTAGAGTCATGAACTGCACATCCATGGCTGGAATATGCAGACACGACACTGCTGAATGTAACTGCAGTTTTTGTTGTAAATGTGGAAAAAGTATAATACTCCCTTTTTGAATGATGTGCTTATAAGCCTGTTGTTGTTTTATTATTATTATCATTATTATTATCATTTATTTTCATCAGAACAACTTTGTATAAAGGGCTCCTAGTGCAATAAAGGGCTTTATGTTCCTCTAGGTTGTCCTTATAAGAAGGGGTTTAATGATTGAATATTCTAATTAAAAAATGTCAGATCATGGCAAACATTGATTGGAACATTTCTTTACATCTTGGGGAAGTGCTAGCACTTTCATCGTTTGTCTATTTGGGGAGTGATTACTATGAAAACACCTTGGGGTCAGGGGCAGCTTGCAGGCACTGCTTACTTAATGGAACTCAGCCAGTGAAAAGAGCTTTGGCACTCAGAGGTGAGACAGCACAGGAAGGAGAGTGTTTGTGTGGGCCTGGATTTCTAGTTACATACAGAATGCTCTTAGTTTACTCAGGGACTCTGGAAATCTCGATCAAGGGTTACTGCAGGCCACAGAAAGTCTGGCTCTGGATTGGAAGGGAACAAGGGATAAATTAAGGCTTACAGTGTGAAAATCTTTCCAGTTCTTTTAAGGGGGATTGTATGAGGCAGGTTAACTGCTGGGATATGACTACAGTGCTTTAGGCTGTTACTTACCATTGTCAGTCATCATTTTAAAATTTTTGAGACGAAAAGTGTTCCATTATGGTTAGAAATTTAGGATCATACACTTGCTCGGAGGTGTTCAGCCACAGTAGCATCTACACCATGTGCAAACAAAGTCAGGTGGTTGGTCCAAACATTTGCCCCTATACTGAAATTTAAGGCTCACAGTTTTGATTCCACAGCTTTGCTAGGCAGATATTTATGTTTGACTGTATATCTAGTGTTATCAAAGCACCCATTTAATATTTTGATTTGTGATCTTTTTACAAGCAAAACTGACCCCCTTCATCCTCAATCTGACTTTGTACAGAGCCAATTCGCAAACCATGGCATGACAAAACACAAAACCAAGGTTCTTAGAATGGTCTAAAAAAAATACAAATAGTTAGTGAAGAAAATATTTAGTAAAACAGCAGTCCCAGCTATTCAGTAATGAACAATGAAACACAGCTTAGTCGTAAATCCTTCTTGCAGCATGAATCAATTTTCTTCCATTTGAGAAAAATCTTATTCATGTAGGTTGAGAAGATATACTTTACAAATGTATTTATAACTCACATTACTGAAATACATGTAGCATAGTGGTAAAAACACAGCTTAAGGGAGAGTTATGTTTATAAACAAAGTGGCTAGGAAAAGAGACAGGAGTGCATGGAGGAGGAAGACGAGGAGGAGGAGTGTATTGAGGTACAAGCAAATCAAGCACAGTGTCATTGCAAGCAAATGATAGCTTCACAAGGGAGCAAATCCTCTCAAGTTGACTTAATGAGGCAACACAAAGCTTTGCTATGCTCAGAGCTAGGATTAAAACAAGCAAAGGAACATGAAAAAAGGATATGGCCAGTAAGAGTCTGAGCATTTTGGATCCAAGAATGCTTTGTAAAAGTCACCAACGCCATGGTTTACAGAGGATATAAAAAAAGGAAAGGGCAAGTCAGACCTGAAATCATCTCTAAGGTGCACAATAGCACTTACAAATTCAGCCTAGTCCATTCAGCTTGTCCCTGTTAGCACAGCACTGCTTCACAAGGTATACTTTTCAAGAACCAAGCTGTTTCAGAAGTCTTGCATCTCCTTTTATTATTGCTTTTATTGAGACACTTCAGATATTGTGCAAACTGCGGGAACATAAAAATAACACAGCATAAAAATTAAAGGTTTGATGTCAACATACTTGATTCTTTTAAATACTACTTGAAGACAAAGTTTAATTAACAATAATTAAAGCAGTTACCTTTGTGCAAACCACCTGACACAGGAAGGATGGAGCAGTTTTTTTCTAGCAGTTTATCTACAACAAAAAAAGTGCTACAAAATCACACAAAGCAGTCTATTAGGCCAAATTAGCCTTTTATTTGCACTTCTGTTTATAAGCAGTGTGAGACCTTCTCCTGGGGCTTTTCTACGAAGCAAGTTCAACCTAGCAAGGTAGCCTTGAGTGAATTTTAATGTCCAAACAAAAGGTAGTAGATGCAAACGAGGATGTCCGGTGGGCTGGTTGGCTGGCTGTCGTGTGGGCTGGAGACACTGCAGGAAAAACCAGAGGAGATAGAAGTTATTGAACAAGCAGAAAATCACGAGGAGCAAAGTTCTGATGATGATACAAACGAGGTTTTGGCCAGGAGACGCGTATTTACCGCTAGGAAGGGTAGACAATACTCAGGCGCTGAGACTGAGGGCTGCAGGCTTCTTAAAGTGCCTCGATTGGAGATGTGGAGCAGGTGTGTAGTCTCACTCAGCCTCAGCGCCGGGGGAGGGGAGGAAGCCCTGGAAAAGAGTAAGGCCAGACCAGGCAAACAAGGAAACAAAGGAAGTCCAGCCAAAATAAAACAAGATGAGGGGGCGTCTCACCACAGTACCCCCCCCCCCCCCCTTAACAAATGCCTCTTGGTGTTCTGCCAGGCTTGTTGGGGTGAGCGGCGTAGAAGTCCTCAAGGAGTTGGTGGTTCAGGATGAGGGAGCGGGAGATCCAGGAACGCTCCTCTGGACCATACCCCTCCCAGTCCACAAGACATTGGAAGCCTGGCCCCCGAGGCCGCACGTCCAGGATCTTCCGTACAGTGAGGGCAGGGAGGTCGTCAATCAACCGAGGGGGGTGGAGGGGCAACGGAAGGAGGGCTCAGGGTGCACGACGTAACAGGTTTGTTGGAGGAGTGCCCCCATGGTAGGACCTGGGAACGTGCAACCCCAGGGACGAATGTTCTGTCTGGCAGGCCAGTTCCCGGGTCTGGGTGGTTCCGGAGGGCCTGATGTCGATCTCCCAAGAGGTGGAGCCGACGACACAGGAGGCAGGGAGGATGGTGTCTGGTTCACTGGGGTCCGGGGTATCAGAGGAGTGGATCCGAGAGAGGGCGTCTGGTTTGAGGTTGCGGGAGCTGGGACGACAGGAGATGGTGAAGGTGAATCTGCGGAGGAAAAGGGACCAGCGGGCTTGCCTGGAGTTGAGGCGTCGAGAAGAAAGGAGGTGATGAAGGTTTCTGTGGGTAGTCCAGATGAGGAATGGGTGTTGCGCTCCTTCCAGCCAGTGTCTCCATCTTTGGAGTGCCCACACAACAGCCAGCAACTCACTGTTTCCCACGTTGTACTTTCGTTCGGTGGCTGAGAATTTCCGTAAGAAGAAGGCGCAAGGATGGAGCTTCTGGGTCTCGGTATCCCTCTGGGAGAGGACGGCCCCCACTCCGGAGTCCGATGCGTCCACTTCCACCATGATTTGGAGAGAAGGATCCGGGTGTCTGAGCACAGGGGGCGAGTGAAGGCAGTGAGAGTGGCAATGAGGGCTCCAGGCGGAGATTGACGCTGTGGACCAGTTGATCTGGGGATTGTGGATCTGCAGCCATGGGAGTCCAAGCACCAGGGGAGAGTGAGGAGAGGGAAGCAGGAACAGCCGAATGTCCTCCCGATGGTTACTGGAGAGGATGAGGGTGAGAGGAGCAGTGCAGTGGGTGATAGAGGCTATCACTCTGCCATTGAGAGCGGTGACCTTACGGGGGACCGGGAGTTCCTCCAGGGGGAGCTGAAGTCGCGCTGCCAGTCCGGCATGAATGAAGTTATCGTCCGCCCCGGAGTCAATAAGAGTTTGTAGCGACACGGAGCCCTTCCCCCACAGGAGACAGGCAGGAACAGCGATACATCTGGGAGAGCTAGGAACAGAGGAGGTGTGGCTCTTCAGGGTGCCGACTGTCACTGATGCATGGCCGTTTGACTTATTCAGGCATTTGGCCAAAAAGTGACCGGCCTGGCCACAATAAACACAGAGCTTCAGCTCAATTCTCCGTCTCCGTTCATCCGGGTGTAGTTTGGTGCGGCCGATCTGCATGGGTCCGGGAAGACTGAGGGCTGCAGAGGAGACCCGCTGACCGCAACAGAGGAAGGGGAGTCTATACTAGGTACCGGGGAATTACTTTTCTTCTCCCTCCGTCTCTCCCTGAGGTGATTATCTACTCTGATAGCTAGCGCTATTAGCTCCTCAAGGGAGGAGGGCTCATCTCGAGCCGCTAGCTCATCTTTCAATTGTTCAGAGAGGCCCCGAGTGAATATCCCTTTTGACTCGAGTTCCCCCCACCCACTCTCGGCCGCCACTGTACGGAACTCGTTTGGTACACTCGGGGCCCTCGACAGGAAAATCAAATATCTTCCGGAGCTCCTCTGAGAATAGGGCATAAAAGGAGAACATAGGTGATTCCCTATCCCAGACAACCGTAGCCCACTTACCGGCTCTACCTCTCAACAGATTTATTGTGTAAGCTATTTTAGACTGATCTGAGGGGTAACTAATGGGCTGTTGGTCAAAGACTAGAGCGCAGCGGAGCAGGAAACCTCTGCAGCCCCCAACCTCCCCCAGAGCTGGCCCTCTGCAGCCATTGGGGTTGACCCATAATGGATGGTGTAGTGGGGGGAGTCTCCACCGATCCATGTCGAAGTGGCAGCAGTCACCTCCGGGCCAAACTGTTAATAATCCACTCAGAATTGCAAATTACACATGTAAAAGATTGTTCTGTTATAGCCTGCTGCACGGCCCTGCCAGTGGGATGGTCCAAAGTGATGGGATCCACGACATCGGGGGGGAGCCTTCAGGATGCCGAAGGTCATCTGTATCCTGACCCTGGTGTGGAAGAGAGCCACATTGAATTGTGTTTGTGGCCCTGCACCAGGGTCAGGATAGGGGGTCATGAGGAAGTGCAGGCAGGGATAGCCTCGGTCCCCAACCAGCACTCCGTGGAGAAGCCCTGTAAATGAAGGGAGATATCATGGTCAGTGTCACAGGGAGTCTGATGAACATCAAAACACAATGTGCATAGTGCAAGAGCCACACCCTGCTCCAATGTTCGGCAGAGCCTAGACTCCCGGAACATCCGAGAGTCATGAACGGAGCCGGGACACTTTGCATCCAGTTTGGCGATAAGACAATTGTGATCGCAGGTCATCTGCAACAGCAAAAAGAACCATAATATGACAGCAGCAGATGAAAGGCAGCAATGTGCTTTTGCCTTCCCTTGATAAAGCTTTGACACTCTCTGTCCTGTGAGCAGCAATGCAAAAGACATTTCAGTAGTTAGTGTCCATGCAGGCACTTAGCTGGTGTGAGTGAACAATGAGTCTTAAAATATCAATCGGTGCAAACCTCACAGGCACAGGGGAGATTTTTGGGGACTCTGTGTGCGTGTGTGTGTCTCAATGTGCAGATGGCATGTATGTCATATGCAAGTTCCTTGAATGTTGAGGCTGTGGTATGACCTGCAATTGACATAGTCACCCTCTGGATGGCGCCACACACCGTAGCTTTGCTCAGCTTTTCGGCGTCGCCAACAGTATATAAATATGTACCCAACGCATAAAAGTGAAGGGCTATACACACACTCTGCGGGGCCATTAGCGCACAGCTTCTACGAGTGTCGCAAGCCATGTATGACTCTAAAAGCTGGCAGATGTACACCAACCCCTCCCTGGAAAACCGGTACCTCTCATAAAGGTGGTCATCCGGAAAAGTAAGTGGGTCCATGTGATCCCTGAAAACTCTCGCGTGCTCCTTGGACAATGCGAGCACCGAGGTCTATAGGAACCAAGCCATTTTTTGAGAGAGCTCACTGGTCAGTGGGCGGGGCTTTTATACTCGTGAGTTCAATCTGGAACCTAACCTGCCCCGGAGCAGGTTAGCTGTTCCTCATACGTTGCCATGGAGACTCGCCTCGCTAAGAAGTGAACCTGCGTCATAGAACAGGAAACCCCAAACTTATCCTCAAAGTTACCTTGCTAAGCAGTAATCCTGCTTTGTAGAATAGGCCTCTGGTAAATGAACACTAAACTGATATCCTGGCAGGAGTTGAATAAAGGTACATGCCAAGCTCTTTTTCAACTGCTCTCTTTTAGTTTTTAAAGCAGTCAGGATGAAAACTCATGTTGTGAAAAATGAGAACAATGTTGAAAAAACTGTGTTTGCTATGATGCAGGGGGACTCTGTGAATGCTGTCAACCCCAAACTGTCCAACACAATGCAGCAATTTTGCCATCTCCTTGCCTTTTTTGGGTCTTGTGAATGGACCTCAGTGCAGAGTTTGTTTATTATGTCACTTTTTTTAGATGCATGACACACACACACACACACACACACACACACACACATATATATATATATATATATATATATATATATATGTATATGCCATACACATGAGTCTTGCACATAACCCATCATTTCATGCATTCTCATTACTAAAAAAACGCCTTCAGATCCTCCTAAAGTTAATACACACAGGCCAGCACTCTACCATCAGAAAACCATTGGACCTGTGTGCAGCGATACGGCTTTGTGTCCTGCTCCCCTGTCCTTACATAAGGATGGGAATAAACAACATTTGAGATGTATTGTGCGGACAAAGTTTGCCACGAGCACAGCATGATCCAACACACAAGCAAGGTTCTCTGGTGAAGTCTTGGCAACTTGCATCGAGAGTTGTGCATGTCCACCTTCTTCCTAGGACTCAAAATTGAAATGGAAATTTCCCAAAGATGTCTGTAGCTCTGTCATCAATACATCAATAATGTCATCAGAGAGAGCGACTTGGGCTATTTTTTTAACAGCATTCAGGCTGATCATCCTGTTAACAATGGCTTTGCAGGCTGGTAACATCAGTGTCTGCCACAGGGTGTGGGGTTTTTTTTTGTTTTGTCCTCAACTTCAGCTACTTTGTCATTTGCTTTAAGAGCAGTCTTGGACATCTTTGTGGTTTTTCTCATTAAAGTTTTCAGTTTCTCAGTGTTTTCTTAGCAAGGTGACAAAATAGTCCGTGTTTTTTTTATGGAGTGACAGGTATTTCATTTGAAGATGAGCAGAATATAGTCAGTGTTACAGGATCTCTTGGGAAGTAAGTCCAAATGATATACAGTATCATTCGCTGTATTGGCCTGATCTTATTTTTATTTTATTAATTATATATATATTTTTTTGCTTTCTTTTGACCACTTCTTGTGCTGGGCTCTTAATCTGGGTAAGTCTGAGAAGGGTTTTGTCCATGCTTCAGTTAAGATGCTGCATTTTTCCCATTAAATTTGTGTCAAGTTGGAAAAAAAAACTCAAAACCACAGGTCTGAAACAGAGCAACCTCTCAGAAGTCTTGTTACTTCCACTCATTAGACTACTTCATTTGCTGTCAGAAATTTAGCATCATCATGCTGCATGCCATCACCCATTGGCATGGAAGAGTATCAAACTGGATGTTGGTTATGCCTGAAACTACAACAACTCTTTTTTAATATGTAAGAAAATCCCTATATCCTTAATTTGAGACAAGAGAAAATCAGATTATTAGAATTGTGCTTGGGCAACTTTAAACGTTAAAATGGTGTATATAGGTTTAATTTGAGCAACTGGCCAACTATCCCTTATTTGTGCTAGTTGAATATTGTGCATCATAAGATTGCCTGAGGGAGGGAAAATGTTCCACAAACCTAATTGCATTTTCCACCTAACCCATATAAGTAGCTGTACGTTCGGTTTGCTGTTTGCCATATGAGACCCGAGAGAACAATATTCAAAATAAAAGTGGTAAATGCTTAATAAATGGCAGAAGATCCCAGACTATTGCATTAATAACTGACTTTGTATCACAGTTTCTTATCAGACAGTTGGTTGATGGAACACAACACCAGGTAATTCATTCATATTTTTACTTACTTACCTAATTACCTTTTTATTTTTTAAATCAAGTTAAAAAAAAAACAACATTTCAACCTAAACAGCTAAAAGTGTTGCTAAATGTTGGATAAGAGTATAATAGCCTTCATGCAAAATCAAGTCAATTTTATCACTGTACCTAACTGTCCTGGTATATTTTTAAACAGGGAAGTTATCCCAGTCTTTGCAATAATCTTGATGGATAATTGTTTGTAAATATAGATAACTGTTTCAGCGAGCTGACTTCTTTTTTCATCCTTTAATGTGATTACTGTTAAGTTCCCTGCCTCTTCATAAAACAATCTCATGCCAATAATGGGTTTCTCACCCAAAGCCTAACAAGTTTTTTTTTTTTTTCTTTTTCAAAAGGCATAGCAAACAACAGGGCTGTTTAATCCGAATAAATTATCCCCAGTTGGAGGCAGTAATAATGGAACACAATAAGCAATAAGCTGCTGTCTCAAAACAAAATGAAAGCAGTAAATATCCTGTCTGCTCCAAGCCCCACTGCTTGGGCAAGAGAAGGGGACGAATGGGGTTCTCTTGGGTCTCATATGGAAAGCATTAAACCTAATTTAAAGCTACTAATACGGGTTTAGGTGAAAAATGCAGTCGGGTATGTGGAACCTTTGCAATTTCTTTTACATACTTAATTGGAGACAGGGCTTTGTTTCATCAGCTGACAAGCTTAATGGCATCCTTTTCCCCTTTTGTGGCATTAAGACATGTCAGCCTCTCTGGGAGATGACATCTTGTTATCTCTGAACAACTGTGAATCCTCTGCTGTCTTATATAATCATGTGTACTATTAAGCATAACAGTACCCAGCTTTCAAACAACTCATGCTCCACAGACGTAACAAAGACATTGGACTTTTCAAAAAAAAACTTGCACATAGGTCATTAGTGCAATTAGTCTTAGTTGCCATATCTGTGCCATCACTTGCCTGTCTTAATTGTTCTAAACATTTGTTTTAATCAGACATTTCTTTTTCAGTTATTCACACTGGAGTTATTCACACTTCACAATCACATGCCAAACTAATCAGTTTAAACAAATTGTCCTTATTAATTACCCCAGCTGTTCAAGTTTGAGTCCATTTGAAACAAGTTTTCTTAAGGTCATGTTTTTTTTTGAAGAATGAAGAATGAACATTTTTTTTGGTTCACACAAATGGTTTGTGTCAGTGTTTCCGCGTGTGACCTGGTAATAGAAACTGTTCATTATTAAAAATCATGGGGTTTAATATGGGAAAAAAACACACTTGAGGCATGGAAATAAAAATGGGTGAGGGGTTGTCTGGGATGGTAAAAACAATGCACAAAATATTTTTAAAACATCATTTTTGTTGTTGTGGAAGGTGGTGCAGTTTGTTATAAAAAACCAAAACTACAGATAAAAAATCAGGTTATGAGAAGGCAAGAGAGTAGAACTGAGTCTGTAGGAGTTTTTTGAAACAGTCCAGAGAGTCAGCAGATGTGATGTGTAATGGGAGGTTGTTCCACAGCCTCGGTGCAGCAACTGAAAAGGCCCAGTCTCCGAAAGTTTTTTTTGTGTGATCTTGGTACAGTGAGAAGACCTTGATATGATGATTTGAGGGGCCTTGCTGTGTTGTGTGGTGATATTAGTCCAGTGATGTAGGTAGGGGCAGTGTTGTGATAAGCTTTATATATAAACAGTAGAATTTTGTAGGATATTCTAAATTAAACGGGAAGCCAGTGCAGTGATGCTAGCATAGGTGTGATGTGATCTCTTTTTTTATGTCTGCAGAGCAATCGTGCTGAAGCATTTTGAACCATTTGAAGTCGTTGTATCGATGACTGGTTGATACCAAAATACAGGAAATTACAGTAGTTGAGCCTGGAAGATATCCGGGCATGGATGACTTTCTCCAAATCTTCATATGACAGCAATGGTCTGATTTTGGATATGATCCTGAGCTGAAAGAAACTAGATTTGATGACAGTGCTATTTTGCTTGTCGAATTTTAGGTTATTGTTCAATAATACTTTAAGGTTCTTTGCATGTGGTGTTACATGTTCTGAGAGGTGACTAAAAGACTACAGGATGGTGTTGTTGGGGGAGTTTGTGGGATGGAAAACTATGATCTCAGTTTTGATATCATTTAACTGTAGGAAATTGTTAGTCATCCATACCCTAATATCCTCCAGGCATTTATTTAGGGCTGAGGATCCTGAGGGTGGTTATTGGGGTGAATGGGTAAATAAAGTTGGTAAAGTCTGTATCTGTCAGTATAGTAGATTTCATAAATGCAAAGGTGCAAAAATGAACTGCACAGAAACAGAATCCAGCTGGCAGCCTCTCGTGGGAGTTTCTTGCAGTTACAGCATCAACCACAACTCATGACGATTAGACGGACAGCAGAAGCCCAAACAATCAGTAACTTCCTCTATAAACAAGTTTTGCTTACTTGCCAGCTCTGCCAAATTTCCTCTTGAAATAATCATTATTTCG